AAGGTAAACTGGTATATCTGCATGTTAAGGAGCACTGGAGTGCTGCCAGTGAGTCCCTTCTCACACAGGGAAACTTGTCAGCTCTAACTCCTGTTGAAATCAGAGTTACAAAAGCCTGCAATCAGACTTAGGCATTAATTTATTTGCTTCCCTGAGTGTTTGCTTTGCATCTCAGATAAATGATGCACACCAGTAGCTGTTCTTTTTTTATATTTTAAACACTTTTACCCTGGTCTTTGGTGAACAGGACTCCTGAGAGCATTGAGGTCCACTGGAGTGAAGGAGATAATTAGCAGATCTACCAGCCTGAGTGTTAACTTGTTACACAGAGTTCGAGAACGGAATTTATTATTGCCAAAAATGACTGCTTTGTACACCAGGTTGTCTTAGTGGCATCAGGAAATGAGTGGTTATTGAGTAGAATCAGGTTAAGATGGACCTGATCTCAGTTATTACACAGTTGTTATTAATCTACTTTCCTCAAAACGAGAGTGAAGGTTTCCAATCTTAAGAGTAAAAAACCGTGCCTTTAACAGCAAAATTCCCAAGAATTAGTTAAAATGGTTACATTGAAATTGAAAACAATTTTGTCTTCCAAATCAGGATAATTATCAGATCACCCCCACCACCCCCAAATAACAAACATTTTTGACATCACATTGCAGCTCAGTCTTTGAAGTTACTAATTAGTTCTACATAATGAGTGTTTTAGCAATCCTCCAGACACAGCCATGTTTGGCTGTGAGCACTTTGGAGCCCCAGGACCTCAGGGCATTTGGAATAATCCCTCCATATCCCTTTCCTTGCAAGGATGTGCTGCAGGTTGAGGCTGCCTTGGTTCACTCTGCTGCTCTCTGAGGTCACTTGTGGGAGCTCCCGTGTTTTAAGCAGTGTCTGGAGTCTGCCATGCCAAGAAGTGAAGCACAATGGGAATATCTTCAGGAATACCTTCAACCAAGAGTGCAGACAGTGGAGTTGCTAAAAAACATCATTCCCAGTCTGGGAAAGGCAGAGATTCCTGAAATCCTAAGAAGCAAACAGCTCACTTGAGCTGAGTTTGACACAGTGTTTGGGAAGCTGGGGCTTTTGTTTGCAATTTAATCCTCAAGGAAATGTCTCCTAGAAAACACAGCTTTTCACTGCACAGTAAAATGAAGCTGTTAAGTACCTTTCCCTCCCTTTCCCTTCTCTCACACTCCTCTTTGCCTGGCTCACTCCCCCTGCCTGGTGGTTCCCTTCCCCACCACGCTGATGTGTCTGCCAGTCTTTTTGAGTATCTTTAGGCAATCCTTAAAGCTTCCTTGGCCATACATAAAAATATATTTCAATAGGAGTGAAAACAGGGCTTGGAGCAGTGCAAAAAAAAAAAAAATAAAATTGGAAAGATGCAGAGAAAAAATGGTGATTCTAATCCCTGTGCTCACGGCCTTGAAGGCAGAGTCTGGGAGCTGTCAGAACATTATAGATAACCTTCATTTCTGTGTGTGAGTCCCTGGGATTATTGTTGCACAGAGTGTGATTATTCCAGGTAAGTTACGTCTTTTCTTCTTGCCAAATTGCTGTTTTAAGGAGATTGTGCGCTTTTTTTCCCCCTGTGTGAATTAAATAATGGATTCTCTTGGGCGTGTGGAGTAGTTAGGAAAAGCACTATAAAAGCATAATGAATGTTTGTTGTGCTGGAGTGAATGCTAAGGAAAACCCTGGCTGAGACTGAAACTCTTTTCTTTCCTTAGGGAATGCAGTCGGATTTTTGGTGAAGATGGTCTGACGCTGAAACTCTTTCTTAAAAGGACTGCTCCCTTTTCTATTCTGTGGACTTTGACTAACTACCTGTATTTACTGGCTTTAAAGAAGCTCACAGCCACAGACGTCTCTGCCCTGTTCTGTTGTAACAAAGCTTTTGTCTTCTTGCTTTCTTGGATTGTGCTCAAAGACAGGTTCATGGGAGCAAGGGTAATGAACGTGCCTCCTTTTCCACTCTCATGTTTTCATAATTGCACTTAAACCCATCAGCCATGGTGCTGCCACAGCACTGCTGCACTGGGGCGTAGCCACACCGTGAAAACCTTTCTCATGTAGTTTTATGGTGCAGCCTCAGGATCAGTTAGAGACCTCAGAACTTCAGAAATTCAGTGTGGGAATTTCAAGGAGCTGTTACAGCCAAGTGTAACTCGATGAATTACAGTAGAAAAACTTCCAGTTTCATATAAACCTATTCTGTCTTGGCTTACTGTGCTGAAGTTTAGTTAATTTTATTTTAAATTTAGTGATGAATGTTTAGGTTCTAACCAAAGCAGTTTTATTCCTTGTTTGGGTAGACAGATGTTTTCAGTGTGTGATGATTTTTCTTGTGCTGCCCCATCACTTTTCTCACACACATTCACATGTGCATGTGCCAAAATTGCTTTAAAATTAGCACAGCTCTCTTGTTTGGAGGTGCATTTTGCACTGAAGTATTACAGGACCCACTGGCAGTAAAATGGACCCTGCAGAAATTTAAAACAGAACTCAAACAAAACGATCCCCTGGATCTGGGGAAAGCAAGTTTGTTGTGTAATTTTCCATACACACATCTCCCAACATGCAGCAATTTAAATTGTTGGCTTCACACCTTGGATGAGGTATAGTGAGGATTTCTGCTAGTTCATTGATGCAGCTTCCCCTCTGAAATGGCTCAAAGTCCCATTTTGCACAATCCTGACTGAATTATTGAAAACCTTGAACTTCATTAGGCACTGGCTGGGGCCAGGTGTGGTGGCTGTGACCAGAAGAGACCAGCAGCAGCTGGATTTAAGTTCCATGGAAAGCATGATGGATCAGGACACTCACCCAAGTCAGTTTGTTTTTTGAAAATGGGCACAGCAGCTTTTTCTTATTTTTTTCTTTTTTTTGTCTTTTATTCTTTTTTGGTTTTTTTGATTAATAGTGTGATAGAAGGGTTCAGAAATGAAAGGAAAAGACATCCTGTTGTACAGGTATCTCATCTGGCTTTTGGAGCAGCCACCAGGACACTGAGCAGAGCATTGTGCTTGCCAGGCTTGCTTGAAGGTAACACCTGGATATCTATTTCATACACAGCTGGAAATACAGAAAGATCAGGTGAATGTGACCCACCCTCACTGACAGACTCAAAGAATAAACAGGGTGTAAAACCCTCAGTTCTCTACAGAAATAACAGGAACAATAACTATCCCCCTCTGCCCCTTGACCATCTGAAAAAATTGAGTATTTTGTACCCTTTAAGCTCATTTTCATCTCAAAGCAACAACTTTCTGGAGGAGCAAGTGTAGCCCTTGTGTTCTCCTAGCCTGCTCTGTTAAGGAAACCTAGAAATAAAAGCTATTTTCAGTTCTTACTTATTTTTCACTGACTAAAAAAAGGTTGCCATAAATATGCATTAGTAGAAATGCTGTAAACACCATGGGGTGTGAACAGGGAAAAGTGAGCAGCAGACCCTGCCCATAAACTGGATTTCACTGCTCGCTGGCAGAGCCTGGATGCCCATTGCTGGAGAGGTAATTCACAGCGTTTTCCAGCTGCTCTGCTGACAGAATAACACTTAATGATGTTAATAACCACGCAGGAGAGTGTTTGAGAGCTAAAATACGACAGAGCAGCACAGACCCAGCTTTTTGTGCTCTGAATGCTTCAGCTGCTCTCGCCCGCAGCCCCTCAGAGAGCAGCAGGAATTGGGTTATTTGGACAGGGAAGGACATGAAGAGAAATAAAGGTTTAATCCTATAGGCTGAGCCATGTTTTGGTGGAAAAACTGCACCCAGGAGCTCAGCCAGCTTTTCCAAGGAGCTCAGCTCCCAGCAGCTCCTGCAGAGCTCCGGGGATGTCTGGGTTGCATCGGGGTGGGGATGGATGCTGCAGTGCCTGGGACAGCAGTGGCTCTGCAGCACATCCCCAGCTCCCTGTGTGCCCAGTGGGGCTGCAGCAGTCCCCAAACTGCCCATGGGTGCCCACGGGCACATGGCAGCTGCCTGACATCCCTCTGATCCCCTGGCACCCTTCCTGCACACCTGAAAGCAGCTGCCAGCCAGGCTGCAGGGCTGGATTTTCAGATGCCACATCTTAAGGCAATCCTGTCTCGCCGGCCACCCTGTGGAATGGCACAATCCCACCTGTGGGAGCACTGAATAACTGCAGAAGGGCTGCACACAAAGTTTCAGCTGCTGTGGCTGTGTTTGAGGCACCCAGAGCGTGTGCTCTGCAGGCAGAGCCACGTGCCATCAGCTGTAGCACCCACCTGAGAAAAAACACAAGGGCAGGTTTAGGTTGGGTATTAGGAAAGATTTCCTTACAGGAAGGGTGGTCAGGCACTGGAACAAGCTGCCCAGGGAAGTGGTGGAGTGCTCAGAAAATGTGTAGATGTGGTGCTTGGGGACAGAGTTTAGTGGTGGATCTGGCAGTGTCAGGTGAAGGGTTGGACACAATGAGCTCTTCTCCAACCTTAACAATTCCCTGGTTCTATTTACCTATCAAAGGTAGAGCTCAGGTGCCCTGAAGTACTTCCTGCCCTGGACACACAGAACCATCCCTGCACCCTAACCTTTGCCTGGACACTTCTCAACAGCTCTCTATCAAATTAATAACGTGTCCATGTCACACTTTGGGAAGTCCAGACAGCTTTGGCTCAAAGCAAGCACGAATATTTAAATGACTTTACATATCTGAGTAATTCTGCTGGCTGGTGCTGCTTAAATTTAAACACATGCTTATATGTTTGCATATTTAAGCTCTTAGTTGGACTTCATGTGTGGAGTTGAATCAATGTTTTTTAGGTAGGTACAGAGTAGTTTGGGGACATATTTCTCCCCTGAAAATGTTGACTTTAGCCTGGAGAGAGGTTTCTTCCCTGTCCTTGAAGGTGTTCAATGCCAGGTTGGATGGGGCTTGGAACAACCTGGGACAGTGGAAGGTGTCCCTGCCATGGCAGAGGGTTGGAACTGGATGATCTTCAAGTTCCCTTCCAACCCAAACCATTCTGTGATTCTTTACACCTCATTTTCTGCTGTGCTCCACAGAGAAAAAAAAAAATGTTTCTGATAAACTGTTGGTTGGCCCTGCTCTCTTTCAGGGGAAAAAAGAAAAAAAAAGAGGCAAGCTAATATATCATTCCTTACCTAGGAGGCTCCAAAAGAAAGTTAACTGTGCTCTTCCATTAATTAAAAGCCTGGTTTAATGAGTTGACAGCCACCTTTGCTTCCCTGTGACCTTGCAGAGCAGCCTGCAGATGAGAGCTCAGGTTTCTAAAGCCAGCACCTGAGGCAGGCAGAGGTCAGCTGTGCTGATGCCCTGGTGTGCAGCATGCAGGAGGAGCCCTGAGCATGACATTTAAATAATGTTTTTGCTGTTTTCAGTCTCAGGTGTTGATGCTCTGCCTGCCCATCATTTTAGTTGTGCCAGGGGGAAAAAAAGTGCTTGGCTTTATAAATATTCGATTAAATTAGGAATCTGGCTCTCTAAATTTGGTTTAGGCAGACTGGGAGTGAGTTTTTCATGACAGGAAGAGAGGGGACTATGGATCTACTTATTTTCACTGACACAAGGAAAGGACTGAGCAGTGAGGGCACCAAGAGTTAAATCTCCATCCTTGCCCTTGGAAGGAGGGCATTACTACACTGGACTCTGCTGTTTTGCCTTCTGAGACAGACTCATTGCTGGAAATACTCCAGCTGGCAGCTGAAATCCTGAATTTCTGTGTGGGGCAGGATGTGTAGTGCAGCCTGAGGTGAGTCCAGCCCAGCAGTGTGGCAGGGCAGGGGGTTCTGGGCACTCACAGGAGAGGCTGTGGATGTCTGAGGGGTCCTGGCTCAACATTGCTTTGGGGATGGAGCTGCTGTGGTGTCCCCAGGATGGCTCAGCTGCTGGAATGTGTTACCCTGGGAAGGAAAAGGGGGAAACCTACTGGTCCCCTCTTGCTGAAACCCAGATCTCATCCCACCATTGAGACTGCAGTTCCACAGGGGACTCCAGCCCATGGCATTGGGGAATCTGGATTTCAGCTGCCATTTCATGGGGAATTTGGGGATACCAGTGATACCTGTGGGTTTTGCTGACCTGCATCTTGGAGTTGGGGTGTTTTACATGTAAATCAGCTGGGATACAGACCTGCAGTGGGGTTTCTGACTTTGCCATGTGAGGGGGCACCTGTGTGCCTCAGGGACTGGTGAAATAGGGCTGATGGTGAGGGGGAAGGACTTCAAGCTGCACCCAGGAGATGAGTTTTCCTGGGAAGATGTGGGCCTGGATGCCTGTGGGATTTAGGAGCTGACATTTTCACCTGGAGTCTCAGAGATTTGCCGTGCCCTGGGAGGTGTTTCTGGGTTCTCCATTGTCCCCTGTGTGGGAACACCTTCACCTGAGTCAGTCCTGTGTCCCTGTCCCATGTGTCCCTTGAAACGTGGTTTTGCTCACCTGACTGGCTCTGCTGAAGTTATTTTGTGGGATTTTTTTTGTGCTTATTGCCTCAGTCTGGCTCACATCTGCTTGGGATGAGTGTCAGTGGTTTTCTGGGACTCTTTGTAAAACTGTGAGCTCTGAAAGGCTGTTTTACATGTTTGGATCAAGATGAAGTCTTTGAAGTCTGTAAGCTGAAGCTTAGGTTTATGTAGGGCTAAATATTTCTTAAATAAAGTTCAGTGATGTTTTCAAGAGGCAAAGTGCCCGTGGCACATTGGTGATGGCTCAGGAGTTGTGCACTGGCTCAGGGAACACTCCATGGAAGCTGGGTGTTCAGTGTCTTTGAAATTCACACTCCACATTTACCTGCTGAGGGCAGTTAGGTGGAGAGGGGGAGTTTTTTAAAGAATGAAACACACTGGGCTCCCTACAACTTCCTTAAGGTTCTTGGAATCCAGACCCAGAATTTCAGATATGGGATAGGTAACGATTCCTGCTCTTTTTCTTTGAAGCTCCTTAGATGCTCTCTCTGGGATTTTCAAATGAGGCCAGAAACCTAAGCACAAAGGTAAAGGCTTCATGAAGAAATTTGGTCATGTCTGTCCAAAAATGCTGTCAGGGCACAGCCAAAACAGCTGGAAGAGCTCCCTGTGGTACCCTGGTATTCCAAAATACAGGGCTCATTCCCCAGGACTAAATTTCCAGGATGTTTAGCCATCTAATGATTGCGTTTCAAGTCAAATTGGTGGCATTGCTAAATATTTCTCTCGTTGTACAGTAGAACGTGATGCCTTAAAATTTCTTGATCTTGCAGTTGCCTCTCCAAAGTGGATGTTTAGCTGACAAAATCCATAATGATGGATGTTCTGTCAGTAGGCCCCAGCAGAATTTGCAGTGCTGTAGATCCACATCCCTGTCAGTGCACACACTTCCATTATGCTTTACATCTCTCCCACGATCTTTCCTATTTAAGGGAAAACAAGAAAGCTCCAGGTCAGAGCAAGCGCGTAATGACGCTCATGAGAAGCCCCTGGCGGTGATGACCTCAGCTTTACACTGCTTTGCTTTGTCTGTGCAGATAGTGGCAGCAATAATGGCAATCACAGGAATTGTAATGATGGCATATGCAGATGGTTTCCAGGGTGATTCCATTATTGGGGTGGCCTACGCCGTGGGATCAGCCTCCACATCTGCACTCTACAAGGTAGGTCACAACTGTTTGTTGCCACTCCTACACTCATTAGCATTGGCTGTTGAAAAGACACAGATACAAAGAGGATGGCTGCAAAATAAATGTTTTGTTCTCTTCATCACTTCTGCGTCACTCACGTTGTGACAATGTCAGGAAATCTACCCCGAGGGTAATTAGCTGTCATCTGCCAATTACCCAGAATGGCGTTTCTTAATGAGCCTTTAATGAAATCTCCACTGCCACCTCAGGAGGAGTTCATGATCATTTTTAAATCATGACAACAGGGTTTATCAACACCTTTCAAAGTGGCTTTCCATGTGCAGCAGGGAGGAGGGCCAGGTTGGCCAGCTCATCCCAGGTCTGCCCTGCACACGCTGGGCTCAGAGCCCTGGGGTGAGCACAGGTAATTCCCTGGAGACACTTCTGCTTGGAAGAAGTGGCTGCTCTGGAAGGTGAGGGCTGGGAAAGGCAGGGATTCTGTGTCTCAGGAACAGGTTGGGCTGGGTTTGTTTTCAGCTGTGTGCTTAAAGTTTGGGGTGAGTTGTGGTGGGATCAGAAGCTGCCCTTGCAGCTTTAGACTTTGCTCGTCTCACTCATAAATTTGTTGTGGCCTTTCACAAGTCACTCAGTTCATAGAGGACAAATTCTCACAGAGTGAGCCCTTCCAGGCTGGTTTTCCTCTCACAGCAGGGTCGTGCTGTGGAAGTCACTGGAGTCTCCTCCCAAATCCCAGCATTGCCACACTCAGCACAAATCCTCTACATTCAGTGCATGAATGGTGTGTCCTTGGGTTCTTGCTTTAGTCTTGCTTTTCCCTGGGTTCTTCTACACTTGTTCCTCGTGGCATTTTGTGTAAAGCTTTGTTACACAGCCCCAGCCATCCCTGTGGTAAAGACATGGTGCCAAAACACAGGGAAGGGCAGAAATCCCACCAAGGATCCCCCTGCAAGACTCTTGTATGGGCAAAGGGCTGGGCTGTGGCATGTTGTCCTTCGCTCCACTCTCCCCAGTGGAGTGCTTCCATGGCAGGCATGGAGTCTAAACCCCTCCTCTCTCCTCTTCTCTCCAGGTTTTGTTCAAAATGTTTCTTGGGAGTGCAAACTTCGGGGAAGCAGCTCATTTTGTGTCCACCCTGGGCTTCTTCAACTTCATCTTCATCTCCATCACCCCCATCATCCTCTACTTCACAAAGGTGGAGTACTGGTACCCCTTCTCTGCTGTGCCGTGGGGTTACCTGTGTGGAGTAGCTGGCCTCTGGTTAGGTATGTGATAAAAAAAACTATGTTTATAATTTTAAAAAATTAAAACAATATTTTCTATGATAATAGAATTATTTAATATTAATTTAATATTTAATTTGATATTTAAATAATTTATATTAATTAAAATAATTTCTTTTTCTAATTAAAAAAAAAAAATTCTGGGGGCTTCACCTCTCCTACCCTGTATCAATGTAGCCTCAGGCAAAATTAATTTCCCCCATCCCCTTAAGCAGCAGAGCTCTCTCACAGATTAATTCTGGTCCTGGTGCAAACTGGTGCTCCTTAGAAATGATTCATATTTCTCATTACACTTCATGAAACATTGCTATTAATTTATATACAATTAATAATTGATATGTAAGCACAGTTATAATTAATAATAATTAATAATTAACCATAATAGCAGGGAGTAAACATGAAGCAGCACTACTAATTGCCTATTTTTTCATCCCTACTGTAGGTCCACACCAATGCCCCTGTTTCTGGCACAGCTTGGCTGCTGTAAATCCCATTTCAAAGGGCTGCATGTTCCCAGGCAGCTCCTGGGGGATGTTTGTGCACTGACAGGGGCACCCCCACACCTTTCTGGGGGTGCTGCAGGCTCTGGGCAGGGCTCACATAAGGCTCCCTCTTTCTGAGCCAGAATTGCCAACAAAATATCTGTTGGATTCAGCCCCAGGGCATTTTAATTTCCACATATAACAAGACCCTTTCTTTTGGTAAAGTCTCTTTTATTCCATAATTGAAGAGGTTTTTGTCTCACTACACATTTATTAAATGGAAGCAAAGAGAAATGTCATTGCCCATCCCATCCTGAGCTGCTGTGAGCACCTTCAGCTGCTGCAGCCACAACTGCAGCTGCCCTGAGAGCTCCTAGGGGACCAAAATTAGGGATAATTTGTCACCCAAGTGTATAAACCCAGCCTTATGCAGGGGACTCAGCAGCAGGACTGGGTAGTGGGTGATCAAAGTCTTAAGTTTGCTTTTAATCTTTCAAGGAAAGGTTAAAGAAACTTAAGCAAACTTTAAGGGTTTTTTAAATCTTTCATAGAAATCGGAGCTCTCTGGGGGTGCTGTCATGTAACAAAAAAACCCCAAACCCCAAACAACAAAAGACCAGTTTTTTTGTACCTGATTAAAGCCTGTGCAAAGCCATGGAATATGACAACCTCAGTATTAAAGATTAAAAATCAATTACTTTGTGACAACTCCCTCATTGTGGTGTGGATACTAAATATCACATATTAATATCACATATTAATATAAATATAAATAATAAAATAATTCATATAAATATCACATATTAATATCTACATACTGTAGAGTCAAGGTGGAGGAGAAAAGTCTCACTCTGGTGTTTTCCCCCATTTTTATGTATTATTTTCTCTGTTCTTCTCCAGCTTTCAATATCCTGGTTAATGTTGGGGTGGTGCTGACCTACCCCATCCTGATCTCCATCGGCACCGTGCTCAGCGTCCCTGGAAATGCAGGTACCACTGCTGCTGCTGCCAAAACGAGCCCATGGCAACTCAGAAAGCAATTTAATTGCTTAAATAATTTGTTGGGTGGAAGTTGACTCCAGAGTCCTGTCTTGAGCAGCCTGTGTCTCTGCTCTTCAGTCTCCTCAGCCTCATCACTCTTGGGGCTTTGAGCACCAGGAAATATTTGGTTTTAGGGGAATGCAGCTGTGCAGCAATGCCTGTGGGAGGCTCAGGGGTGCTGTAGTGCTGTTGGTGGAGCTGGGAGCCTGGGTCTGGAGCTCTCTGGCCCACGTGCTGCTGTCTCCCCATCCCTGGTTCCTGAGGGAACCCTCTGCTGATGCAGCCTGTTGTGGATAAAGAGTTACCACCGAGTGCCTTCCATCTCAGAAATCACAGAACCATAGGTTTGTTAAGGCTGGAAAAAACCTCCAAGATGATCAAGTCCAACCTTCAACCAAATATCCCTGTGCTCACTAAGCCATAAAGTGAAGTGCCATGTCCACTCACTTTTTGGACACTTTGAGGGGTGGTGGCTCCACCACTGCCCTGGGTAGCCTGTGCCTTACCAGTCTTCCAGTGAAGAATTTTTTCCTAATGCCCAATCTGTCCCAGCTTGAGGTCTTTTCCCTTTGTCCTGTCCCTTGTTCTCTGGGAGCAGAGCCTGAGCCTCACCTGGCTACACCCTCTTCTTGCAGAGAGCCAGAACATCCCCCCTGAGCCTCCTTTTCTCCAGGCTGAGCCCCCTCAGCTCCCTCACAGACCCTTCACCATGGAAATGTTGAGGTTTAATCCAGTCCCTCCAGGCTCCCTTAGATCCTGCACAGAGGAGCTGTGGCACTCCAGTACTGCACTGTCAGATGATTGCTCAGGGAGATTTGAGAGCCACAGGGCCAGAGTGCAGCACAGAGGGTCACAGGGACGTGGCAGGCTGCCCTCAGTGCCATCACCCATCCTGCTGCTGTTGTGACGCCGTTGTTGTTCCTCTCCTCCCAGCCGTGGACCTGCTGAAGCACAAGATGATCTTCAGCGTGGTGCGGCTGGGGGCCACCATCATCATCTGCATCGGCTTCCTGCTGATGCTGCTGCCCGAGGAGTGGGACGAGATCACCCTGAGGTTCATCAACAGCCTGAAGGAGAAGAAGAGCGAGGATCACTCCGAGGACATGACGGAATCCAGCGTCCACACGAGGAGCAGGAGCAGAGCCAACGGGACGGTGTCCATCCCGCTGGCGTAGGGCTGGAGGAGCGTCCCTGCACGCAGATGTGTATTCTGTGAATATAGCTTAACTTTCCTCACCACCTGTATGCTTCAAAAAACGTCATCTAACCTGAGCAGGGGATGAACTGTAAGATAAGAGAAGTACATCTATAATAAATGTTTACATTTATACACTTAACAAGGAAGGGGTGTAAATAACTACAATAAAATCTTTTTATAATAAATGTTTTAAGCTTGTGTCTTTCTGAGCCTGGTGAGTTTAAAATGTGGATCAAGTTTACATCGTTTATCTCCCTCTCTGCTGGCAGAAGTAGAGCCATTTTGGAGGATACAAATCTTGGATATTTCCAGTTAAATCTCAAAATTTGACATCTTGACTTACTTTCAATGAAGTGCCCTTTCAGCAGGGGTAGCAGTTTTGGAAAAGCATTTCAAACTTCTCCTGGAGTTTTGAAGAATCCATTTCTGAAATGTTAGCACTGATATTCCCAATTATTATCAGAGTAAATATTCCATGATGTGCAGAACATCAGGCCTCTCCTCCCAGGCCACGTTGAGCTGTGCCTCCTTCCATCACCACCTTTCCAGAAATGGTGCTGGAATTTGGGTAAATTCCAGTTATTGAGTAAAGCAAAAAATACCTTTATTTACCTCATTTTCTCCCAGGAAAGCTGCACTCCCAAGTTTCAGGAGAGATTCAACACCCTTGATTGCTGCTGTCCCTGGGAAATGCCATTTTCTATTTTCCAGAGCGTTGAGACAAACAAATATTTTTCTTAACCTCTACTGTGGAAAAGTCTTTCAAACGCCAGATGAAACCAACCAACCTGCCCCCTAAGGCTGTTGCTGTATAATTTGGGCTGTTTTACAGCAGTCCTGGGATTGACTACTCAAAATCTCTTCATTTGAGAGCACTTGGTAGGCAGACAAACATTTTTTCCCTGTTCTTTTATTTTTTATTTTTTTTTGGTTGGTTTTTTGTTTTTTGTTTGGGTTTTTTTGTTTGTTTTTAAAGGAAGAATAAAACCAGCTGGAAAATATCATAGATTACTGAGCTCTGCTGACTTTCCTGCCCAGTTTGTGAGTTTTATTAACAGCAAGTAAGGGTGTTTTGATGTTATTTCTACCAGGAGGAAAAAAAAAAATAATGTAAATTATAAATTATTTAAGTCTTTATTTGACTCTTCTATTGGTTGTTTTTTTTTTAATCTTTTAATATTCATATCTAAACTGTTCCTTGAAGCCAGCAGAGCAGAAAAAATACTTGTGTGTATTTAAAAAACCCACGAACTTGGGCTCTTTCATCAAATGGCTGCAGAATTAAGGCTGCAAAAACCAACCCAGCCATCTCCTGTGCCCTGTACCCAGAGCTGTAAGGTTTGCATACACACTCAAGCCTCTTACAGCTCCTGCTCTGCTGCTTTTGAGAGGAGATAGACAAAAAATATTCCAAAAAAGTTAATTACAAAGATGCTGATGGGCTGAAAGCACCCAGCACATGGCAGCTTGGCCTCTCCCCACACTTTTGGAGCTGATACATTTATTTACATTGCTAGATAGTTTTGGGGATGTGTTTTACTGAAATTTCAGCTCCTGCCAAACTGAACACATGGGGAAAACAAAATTTTGAGTATGCATTGATGAGTACGTTTTGGCAAGCAGCCTCATGGCAGCATCTTCAGGCCTGGGACTGGATCCTTTAAGGAAGCTCATTGAGAATTCTGTGTAAAATCCCATTGTTTGAGTCAGCCTTCCCCTGCTTGACACATCCCATGGCCAGGGGCACAGGGTGTTGAGAAGACTGTAATCCCAACCAGGAAGGCTTGAGCAGAGCACCCCTGCTTTGGTTTGGTGTTCATGGAATGATCCAGGTTGGAATTGGGTCTTAAAGATCCTCCAGTCCCACCCCCTGCCATGCCCAGGGACACCTTCCACTATCCCAGGGTGCTCCCAGCCCTGTCCAGCCTGGCCTGGAACACTTCCAGGGATCCAGGGGCAGCCACAGCTGCTCTGGGCACTCTGCTCCCAGATGTTTTCCAGGGATGCCTTAATCCCCCTCCTTCACCCTCTGCCCAACCTCCAGTTCCAGCTCCCCATTAAGCATGGGAATAATGATTTTCCCTGGGGTGCAGCTCAGCCTTCCAGCTGGAGAAGAACCCCCCAAACCCAAGGAACCACAAACAGAGGCTCTTGGAGCTGATGCTGCTGGTGACCCACCAGAGGAGCAGCAAACCAAAAACCATCCCCGTCAAGTGACCAACAGGACATCGCCACTTCCACCACCACTGCCACTTCTGGCAGCCCCCTCTGCCCTCCCCAGCAAGCCACAAACCCCCAGTGGGGTTTCATTTCTCTGGCAGCCCCCTCTGCCCTCCCCAGCAAGCCCCAAACCCCCAGTGGGGTTTCATTTCTCTGGCAGCCCCCTCTGCCCTCCCCAGCAGCGTGAGGCTGCATTTCTGTGGCACCCAAGGAAAATGCCACTTTTGATCCAGCAGCTGCTTTATCAGATTCTCCTTATGGCTGGAAGGAAAACAGAACGTGCTGGGAATAACCCTCCAGGAGCATCCCCAGCAGAGGCTGGAGGGCTCTCTGGAGGGCTCAGTGAGGCAGCAGCAGCACGGGCAGCGTTATCAGCACCACGGTGTCCCCAGCCTGGGCTGAGAGAAGATGAATGTCCCCTGCCAATAGCAGCGACAAGGAGCAGAGGGAGGAAGGAGCCGTGTTTCTTGACCTTACAGATGTGTAATAACAAGCTCTATCAGCCACAGCAGTTTGTATCCCAGCCAGGGGAGCCGTGCTGGGTTATTTTCCTCCCTTTGCTGATCCATTTGTTCGCGCTGTCGCTGCCTGAACGTGCTGCAAGCAGGATAAACAACAGCCTGCTCGCATCGCTGGGGTTCCTTCTGCTGTACTCACTGGGGATTTGCATAAAAGCCCAGGCGTTACTTTGGCAAAAATCCATCCCACCCACTTCCCATCTCCTCCTTTGCCCACGTTTTTTTATTTTATTTTTTTTTTTATTTTATTTTTGTGATTTAAAATTCATTTTTGAGGAGAAGCTTTAAGGCTTTAAGATCTGCTGCTGCAGTTGGGTGTTTGAGTGGTGCCCCTCGGTTCACCTTTGCCCCTCTGTGTGCAAATGTCCTGCTCCAAGTCATGGCACTGCCCTCCCCTTGAGCTTTTCCCAGTAACTTTTATTTTCCCAACATCAGAGCACTTAGGAGTCAATGATTTCATTTTGACTGCAATAAATTTGCTGAAAAATCCAATTCTGGAGGGATCACCATCCCCTCACAGGTTGCTGAATTTAGTGGAGAGTTTAAAGTAGTAAATGAAATGAGAGAAAGGGATAAAACTCTTCCAGCTCTCCTGGGAGGGACTGTGGGATGTCCCTGAGGGCACTGTATGGGCCCAAAGCTCCTCCAGCCCCATCTTTCTCCAGCACAGTACTCAGGAATTTCACTGACCTTTACATATAGACAAAATAAAATAACATTATTGCATTAAATAACTCCCAGTTAAAGAGAAGGATGAGCATCCTTCTCTTTCATCCTTTCATTTCTTTCATCTCTTTCATCCTCCCCCCACCCCAAACCTTCAGCTGCTGCCCTTGGCCCTCTTTGCTTTGCAGAGTGAAACATGGACAGGAGAGGGGGTTGGGGAGTGTGGGGAGCAGGGAGCAGTCCTGACCCTGTCAGGACTTTGGCAGTGCCTGGGTAAAACACCAGATAAAACATGAGCATTCACATGGGTTTCCACTGCTCCCACACATCCATCATTGCATTTAATTCATGATTTCCCAAAGCTGCTTAACAGGAATGACCTGTTCTCAGCAGGGGAAGGGTAATTAAAATAAAAAGGAAAAATAGTAAGCATTGAGAAACTCAGGAGGGAAGCAGGGTGTTGATTTTACAATTTCATTTGAAAAGAAGAAGGAAAAAAATTACAGGCCAGGTTGCTCTGCTCCCTCGTGCCCTGTGTGACCTGGGAAAAGCAAAGTCATGAGAGATGTTGGTGCTCTGTGGCTGAAAACATGAACTGGTTGGGTTGTTCCAGGGATGAATAATTTCTTCTGGGGGAAACTTGGTCTGGTGGAAAGTGTCTCTGCCATGGCAGGGGGGTGGAACTAGAAGATCTTTAAGATCTTTTCCAAGCCAAATCCTTCTACAATCCTATGATTTTATGAACTATCAACTATGACTCACTTTGACCGATATTCCCGGATAGTTTTGTACTAAAGCTGCATTTTTTCCAGCAGTGCCGCAGAAGAGCCACTTGAAGAAGTACCTGCAGGCCAGCTGAGGTGGTGGCCCTGGAAGAAAATCCCTTGAAGGTGAAAATTTGAGCTCGGCACCGGCTCCTGAGCTGCTTCTCCCTCCTCTGTCAGCAGCAGCCACCTCTCATCCCTGCAGGGGAATGGCTGGGGATGGGTCAATGTTTAACCAAGCTGGGGAGGACATCTGTGAGAGCTGGCAGGGCTCACAAAGATCCCTCTCCAGGTTCAGGGAGGACGGTGCATGAGGGCTTTCCCTTCTCCTCTCGGAGCCCTGGCTCTGCAGGATGGGCCTGAGCTCCTCCAAGGCGCAGCCCAAGGTGACCAGGGTGGCCCCAGGGCCAGCTCTGGGTGCCCTGCCCGGGGAGCCAGGACAGCCCAGCCCACAAAGCCCGGGTGGGACACCCTGGGGAAAGCCCATCTTCCACCTGGAGCTTCCACCCCTGCGGGAGACCTGGTACGGGAGAGCCTCTGCAGGTGAGGGGTCACTGCTGGGACACTGTCATCCTGGGGCTGGGGTCTGCTGCCTGCAGTGTGGGGTGGGTGCAGGGCTGTGCTCTTCTGCATCAGCAGCTTTCTGCCATTTTTGCCACTTCCAGCATCTTTTAGCTTTGGGAAAACTCATTTTTTTCCTCCTCCACCGTTTTGGAAAGCGTCTCAGTCACCAGAGGCCAGATCCCAGCTCCCTGCTCTGATCAGTCTGGAAACAGCCCAGCATCACCCTGGCACCCACCTGTGTGTGAGCCCATCACAGCCCTGTCCTGCTCACCTGCCCCTGTCAGACACATCCCTGGTCAGAATTAGGTTCTGGGCAGGGAAAACCAGCGCTGAAACCAGCGGCAGATTTCCCAAGCTGGAGCAGAGGAAGGCAGCCTGGCTGGGTGTGCTTCCCTACAAGCAGCCTTTAAACTCCATCCATACCCAAATCCTGCCCAGAGGTTTGCATCCATCTGGAGGAGAACATCCAGCTCCACAACGAGCTGGATGCTGACAAATGCTGCCCACAGCTCTTAGGGGAGTGTGGGGAGAAACATCCATGAAAACCAGTGGGTGTGAGGAAGGGTGAGGCAGAGGGAGGAGGATCTGCACCCCCAGCATCCCCCTCCCTGCTTTTCCATTCCCAAAAAGCAGTTTCTGACCCACACCAAGCAGTGTTAAGCAGCACTGCTTCACCAGAGGCTGGATATTTCCTCCAGGATCATTCATCAGGTGGCATCAGGAAGCAGTGAAAGCCAATAAACCTCTGGAGTGACAGCAGTGACATTCCCAGAACTGAGGTTTTGGGGAGAATACAGATCAGGTCTGGCTGTAGAAGAGCAGGTTTTAAGTATTTCATGAGAGGAAGAATAACCAAATGTTCCTGTTCTGGAAAATTATCACTGGGCATTTAACAAATGCTTGTTAAAAAAATGTGTATTTAAAAAAAAAATAAAATAAATGTAATCTTCCATTACTTTCCATTTTCAGAAACAAGAAGAGTATGCTCAGGAAAGCTCAGTGAAGTATTAGCTCAAGCTGCTGTCCAAATAAGCAAAGCCTCCAAGAGAATCGGTTTTATTTGGTTTATGAGCGTTCAGCTTGGCTTATTTTAAATCCAGATTCCCCCAGAGGGGAGGATCTGCTGCTGTTGAAGTGCAAGGGTGGAAAACAGGAGAACAGGAGTCACAAGGATGCCTTGGGCAGGGGCTTTGCTCTGGGGGGAGCAGATTTGGGGCCAGGGAGCCCTCACTCCCCAGTTCTGTATCTGCAAATGTCCCACAAGCCACATGCATGCATGGGATGGGAGGGGAAAACTCAAAACAGCCCCAAACACACACAGCACAAACCATCAAACCTCAAAAGGGAGAAATAACTTCCTCAAAGCTGTACCCTTCACCAGGACAAGCTTCTCCTAAGCCACAGCCACTCCCCTGTGCCGTGTCCCTGTTCCCATCTCCATGGGCCACCCCCTCACCTTTTCCTTTCCCCTCTGAAATTCCCTGTGCACTCACTTGCCTGCAGATAGAGGCAATGCTCCATAACCCCCTTTTTCTCTATCAAGCTGCTATTTCACCACCTGTTCCCTGCAGATGAGGTTTGTTTCTCCTGTGCTGGAATTTTTCCTTCCTGTTCCTGTGTGTGTGGAGCAGCCACAGCTTCACTCAGTGGTTAAACATTGCCAGGGCTCTGCAAAACATTTACCTCGTGGAGTCTCCCACATCCCAGCACACTCAGGGAGGCAGAAATTCCTCCCTGTGAGGGTGGGGAGGCCCTGGCACAGAGAAGCTGTGGCTGTCCCATCCCTGGGGCAAGTGTTCCAAGGATGGGGCTTGGAGCAACCTGGGATAGTGGGAGGTGCCCCTGCCCATGGCAGGGGGTAGAAATAAAATTATCTTTTAACCCATTCCATAATTCTGTGGTTGTCTTCTCTCTCTTCTCCAAGAGCCCAGCCTGGTGATCTTGTAAACTGACCTCCAAAATGCTGCCTCTCTTGTTAAATATGGCTATTAAATTTGGCATCAGCTGTAATGTTCTTCCTGCACTTTATCCCCAAGCCTCCTCCCCTGTCACCTGCTCAGGGCTCCCAGCCCGTGGGTGCAGGAGCTGCTCAGCCACACCTCACTTAACTCCAGGTATAAAATGTCATTTGAATGCACCAGGACAGCCTTTTGGGGTGGATAAACAGATAAACTGTTGTGTCAAAGAAATACTTCCTGCACGTGCAAGTGTTTATTTGTGCAAGAAAAGAACAAAAGGGGCGGTGGTGTCCACCTGAGAGCCCCAGCACAGACCAGAACTGAGCCTGATCCCACCCAGGCCTGAGAGAAAGCTCTGCCTTAATAACTAACAGGGCATCACTGGTGTGTGACACCTTCTTCTGGGCTGGTTTCCAGGTCTGGGGGTGCACCACTCACCTGAGCACAGCCCTCTGACTCCACAGCTCTGCCACACTCAGCAATTCCGCAGAGGCATCGCTCAGTGCCACCAAAAAAATAACAACAACCCAGTCTCAGGGGCTGAGCAGCAGGAAAAGACCCAAACTGTGCCTGTGCCTGACTCTAACAGGGCAGGCAGGGGGAAGGCAGAGGAGATCAGGGATTTCTTGGCCAGCTGATGGTTACAGGGCATGGGAGGAGTCCCTCGAGCACCCAAATCCCAGGGGCTGGGGGAGAGGCCACAGGAGACACAAGAATGGTGATGGTCATGTTTAGGAGCATGACTGGCTGTAGAGGGAAGCTGCAGTGGTGTTTGTGAGAGGTCACAGGCACAGTCACCCCCACTTTAGTTCCTGCAGCCAACAGAACGTTCCATGTGCTACTGCCATGCCCAGACAGGGGTTTCAGTGGGACATGCCAACCAAAAACCAGGGCACAAAGCTATTGCTGAGTGCACCTAAGCAGCTGATCCTCACCCAAAAGTAACTTCATCCATTTCTTTAACCTTCAAGGGCCCCTCTCTTTGAACACCTTGCCAGGAAAGGATGGAGCCAGCATCATCAAGCAGCACCCACCTCGGAGGCCTCAAGTAAGGCGCGTGTGAAGCTCCCTGGGAGCTGCCCTGACTGACCCCTCCCTCCCTGTGGGCTTTTTGGGGACAGGGACACGTGTCCCATCACCACGGTGGGGGAAGCAAATACCCTACAGCCACACAGGGGGGTATCCTGATTTTGGGTGACCACGAGCTCGTGTGCCCCCAGCAAGGACACGGGGCCACCTCTGCTGGGATGTCCCACTGCCCTCTGGGGTGTCTGGGTTCCTGCAAACCCTGCTGTTGCCACGGGGCCAGTGTGGCCAGGACAGAGGCCTTGGCAGAAAGGATCCAGCCTGTGTCGTGTGGGGCTGCTTTGGGCTCTTCAGGCCAAAGGCAGCAGCTTGGGAGAGGAGATGGAGAAGCAGACAGATGTGCTGTGCACCAGGGGATGGTGAAGGACACAGCAGTTGTTCTGCGTTTCAGGAATCGCTGTTCATGCTCTGCACCTGCCCAAACTCCCTCAGTTTCCCCATCCTGCACTTCTCAGATCTGTTCCTCCCCAAGACCCAAACCCCATGACTCTACCTGACCCAACAGTCAAGATTTTCCTCCACACAAAGGCTACCCTTACAAAACTAAAGCTCAGAAATATCTCCAAATCATTTATCCCCCTGTACTTGGCACTGCTGAGGCCACAGCTCGAACCCAGTGTTCATTCATGGGCATTTCTTCCTCATATCCAACCTGAATCCGCTTGGAACAACCTGGTCTGGTGAAAGATGTCCCTGCTCATGACAGGGGGGTTGGTCCTTAAAGTCCCTCCCAACCCAAAAATTTCAGGTTTCCATGATTCTGTGAACAACAAACCCACTGGAACAAGGATTCTTTGCTTGAGACTTCCTTGCTGTGATTATCATCTTTTAAATATAATAAAGCAGAGCCACCACAGGGGGTCACTTAAACCCGCTCCCCTCAGGGCTGTGGCTCGGGGTGACCCTGGTGGCTTCAGAGCTCAGAGGTGTGGAATGATGTGTCCCTGGCCATGGTGGGATGATGCAGCAGTGGCATCTGGATGGAGCCCACCCACACCCTGACAACTTCTCATGGAATTGCAGTTTCCTTCAGAAACCTCTGACCAGCACCAAATTTTTAATTATTGATTTTATTTCCATCATGGCTGTACTTGAGTATTTTTGAGACAGTTAACACTCATTCCAGGACAAAGACTTTGTGAATCCTACCCTGTCCTGCTGCTGTTGCTCTTAGGGAGTGCACACAGCTCCAGCAAAAGCCTTTTTCCCATGGGAATATTCCCAAAGGCAGTGGAGCAGGATGGCGTGGCCTTCTCAAGGACTTTTAGAGGATCTTGGTCAGAGAGCATTTCCAGGCAAAAACCTGTGATGTTCACAAAAACTAAAGGGAAAAGTCGGTTTTCCAGCCTGGGACAGAGCTTTACCCAAAGCCTGAAGCTTGGCTTCCCCAGCAGGACGGGGTGATGAGCTCAGGGATGTGGGAGGATTTTTGCCTTCATCCACCCTGTGTTGGTGGCCTTGGTGGCTTCCCAGAGCGATGCCAGCCTGGACCACAGCTTGTGGTGTCACATGCTGCCATCTAGTGCCATTTTTCAGGTTCATGTTCAGCTTTGTGGGGTTTTATTTTGATGCTAAGAGACGTGCAGGTGGCGTTGGGGCTGGTGGGGAATTCTCCCTTTACGTGATGCCGATTTTTCCTCCTGCATTTTTACACAGATCCAAAGCTCAGGATTCGGCAGCAGCTCAGTGCAGACAGTCAGAGACATGTCCCCATTTGTTGGACATTTTTTTGTAACCAAGGAGTTAATGGTGTCCCAAATAAAGTATAAATCAGGTCTTACAAAGTCCTTGATGATGTTCCCTTTAATTTTTATGGAAGCTGTGCTGAGCTCCCCTCCTAGAAGGGAGCTCTAGGTGGAGTCACCACCCCTGGAAATGTTCAAAAATTGTGTGGGTGTGTTATTTAGGGACCTGGTTTAGTGATGGACCTGGCAGTGCTGGGATAATGGCTGGGCTTGATGATCTGAGGGGTCTTTTCTAACCTTTGTGATCCTATGAATACCAAGCCATTGAATGACCCAGCAACACCTCAGAGCTTGGCATGATTTAAGGAGGCATCTTTGCTCCTCAAGATAAAAATCCATGCTCAGGGCAGGCTGTAGAGAAAGTCTCTGCCTATTTTCACCAGAAAAGGAACTTTGTACCATGCAGAGTTTTGCAGAGAGAAGTCTTACTTAGGCAAATGTAAAGACTGGCTGGACAGAGGGAACGATGCTCTAGGTCTCCTCTAATTGGGATCTGCCCTTTGATGACCTGATAGGATCCTTAAGATTAAATTATGACACATCTGCACGCTCCAGCTTTGCCATGAAGCAATCTGAGCTGTGGTTTGGCTTCACTCTGCTCCAGGATGGAGCTTTGGGCACTGTTGGGGCTCAAACAGAAATACCTGCAGGGATGGAATTGCTGTCAGACTGGGGCCTTGCTGCTTGTGCTGCAAGGCAGAAGATTTCCCCAGTTTTGCCCACTCCTGAGGGACAAAATGATGCTCATTTCTCTGAGATGCCAAACTCCTCCCTGTATCCCAGGCAGCTGGGCCAGAATGGGAGCTGGGAATGTCCAGGTAGTTTCATACCTGGTTTTATGATCCTGTGGAATGAGAGATGCTAATTATAAATACTGGACTTGCAGAGGCTTGAACCTGCCATCCCTCCACAAGCCATCGCTCCTGCCAAGCCCTGGAGTCAGCGAGCAGTGGCTGCAGGCCCAAAACCAAAGGTAAGCACAGGAGTTTGTGCCCTTCCATAAAGGGGAACCCTCCATTCCGGGCTGCAGGCTCCTTTCCCTCACCCCTGGGCCCCCTGAAGGGCAGAAGTTGGTATTGGCTGTGCTCCTGTCCCTGGCTGAGCCCAGGACACTGAGCTGAAATGTTGGTGCGAGGTGAGACCCAAAATAAGGGGAAAGCTTCCTGATCTCCAGCACGAGAGTTCCCTGGATGAGATGCACCTGCTGAGCCAGGACAGTAGATGTTTTTGAGGCTGAAAGTATGAGAGGCACGTTTTTAAATGACTTTCTTGAGCACCCATCACTTGCAGTTGGTGGAGAGAAGGGAGAGACCTTCTCGCTCTCCCTGACAGGACTTGGAGCCAGGCAGGGCTCAGGCTCTGCTCCCAGGGAACAGGGACAGGACAAGAGGAAATGGCCTCAACTTGTGCCAGGAGAAGTTTAGATAGGATTTTAGGGAAAATCCCTTCACTGAAAGCATTGTCAGGCACTGGCACAGCTGCCCAGGGCAGTGTTGGAGTCCCCATCCTTGGAAGGGTTTCAAAGCCGTGTGGATGTGGCACTTGGGGACAGGGGTCAGTGGTGGCTTTAGCAGTGCTGGGGGAACAGCTGGCCTCGATGATCTTAGGCAGCTTTTCCACCCTCAACAACTCCATAAGTCTGATTAAAAGCTGCAAACACCATGTGCCATAAATACCCCCTGCAGCCCCAAACATGCCAAAGCCATTCTTCCCTTGGGATCGTGAGATTATCCCAGAGAACCCACCCAATGCAGTAACACCTCGGGGGGCAGGAGCACGAATACATTGTTTTGATGAGGTTTTTTCCCCTCCTGCCCCAGAGCTGTGGGATGAGCTGCAGGCACAGTGGGAATCTGTGATGAATCCCTGTGAGCTGGCTGCACAGGGAGATGCTCGCTGCCTTTATCCGTGAGCAACTGAGGGGTTTGAGAGCTGGTGGCTCTTCCTTTCTTTTTCAGAAAGTGCAGGTGTATTTATTTGCACCCTTAAATACCTTGTAGGTGCTGGAGAAGAGGGGGCAAAGCCTGAATCCCCTCCCTGGCAGGAGGCAGCACTTGCACAAACTTCAGATGCTGGACTTGAGCCGCAAGCGACGAGAGGTAATGCCAGGATGGATTTGGGGAGGAGATGGGGGTGTCTCTCCCACGGACCAGGAGGCTTCAGACCTCTTGCTGGGGAGGTGAAAGGAATCATTCCCTGTGTCTCAGGCAGAGGGCTGGTGGGGAGCATCACCAGGGCTCCTGTGATCAGTAATTACCCGTGATTTTTCCAGCGCTTTGCTCTCATTTGGCCGTGACTCACGGAGAAACCAAAAATCCCTGTCCCAGTCATGTTCTGTCATGCACCCAGCCTGGCAAATTCCATTTGCTTGGGTTAAACCACTCGACTGTGCAATTATTTCCAGGGCCAACCCCCTAATGCTGTGCCACATCGAGCTATTAAAAGGCGTTCGCTCCTCTGCTGCTTGCGTTGACAACTCATTTGCAAACCCAGGCGGAGCTGAAGCGGAATCTCCACAGGGAGGCGAAAATCAATAAGCAAAAAATCAAGGAATTCAGCCCCCAGGATGTCCTTGACAGTCCCCAGAGAGCTGACAGCACCAGAAGCCCAGACCCTGTCCCTGCTGAGCACAGTCAGCATTTTCATCAAGATGACCCTGGTAAGTGGAATTATTTTCCAAGGCGATGTAAAACTCACCCAAAAGTCACCTGGAGAAGTTTCCCTGTGGAAGATTCTTCCAGTGCTCCACCTCCTGCAGGGATAAGAAGCAGGTTCAGGGGGGAAAAGGCTGTGTTTGTACAGAGAGCTCTCTGGGGTAAACGTGCCACTCACTGAGGCTGATCACTTTTTTGGGTTTAGGGTTTTTTTCCCCACTGTCCCTACAGAAGGGGGAAGTGGATCTCAGCCACCTCTTCATCCTGGCCTGTCCAAGGCACGAGCCCTGCCCTGCTTTGCCTGCACGTGGCAACCTTTGGCACAGGCTGGGAATGTGTCACTGAGGCCAAAAGTGCTTTAATCAGTGAAAAACTTGCCTGAAGGTGAACTTTCACCAGGAGGAACAAACTTGACTTCCCATTCCCTCGTGGTTCTTCACCTCTTCCCCCTGGGGATAAAGCCACATTGCCAGACTCTAAAATTTCACCAGATATAATCCTGGGTGTGTTACACCTCACCCTGCCCCAGACGTGGGGTCTGGTCCTACAGGGAGCTCCCAGGATTTTCCTTCCGTGCCTCCAGCTGCCCTTTGCCATTTCCAGCTCAACTCCAGCTCTCTGAGCTCCACAAAACCACGGTGTTTTATTCTTTTCTCTCCCCTAGGAAACTCGTGGGGTGGGGAGCTCTCCAGGCAGCCTGAGAGGGCTGAGCTCTCTCCAGACAGGAGGGGGAAGGCTGAGCTGGGGTTCTGCAGGGAGCCAGGGGCGAGGGATCTGTTCTGGGACTCCTCCAGCACAGGCTCCGAGGAGTGCGAGAGGGAAGAGAAGATTCACCGCAAACCCACGCTCGTGAGGACCAGGACAGAGAGAGTTTCCCTCTTTGATGACTTCTTTGACAGGGATTTCTAGTGGCATGGCTTGGGATGTGCCAAAGAAACGAGGCCCAGCTCTGGAGGGGCTGGAACCCCCCCAGAGGGATGGGCTGAGGTTGGAGACAGCGCTGTGGAATTCCTGTGAGCACGGGCCAGTGGAAAGGACATCTGGAAACGAGGAGCTCACTGATGTGGGGTGAATAAAAACCCTCTGGGCTGTGTGGCTGAATCAAAGCATCAGGGGGAAGAAGCCTTGGATGGAGCAACAGTGAAATGGGGGTAGAGAGGAGGAGGGGGCTGGCAAAAACAAAATAAAACCAAGCAGAAGCTGGGGAAGTTCTGGGTTAACCCCAAATATTAAATTTCAGCTGAAATGAAACGTTTCACTTGCCTTTGAGTTACTCAATCTTCCTGTTTAAATTGGGGTTAACCTTTTTTAAACCACAAACCCGAGTTCAAAATGCAAGGGTAAAAAAAGATTCGTTTAGAGTGTCTTGAAATTAAATTTTTTTGGCATTTCTAAAATTCCTCTTTGACTTCTGTGGCTTTTTTTATTTTTTAATTTCCTCTCCCCCCACCCTGCCCTGGACACAGAAATATATGTACTTTCTTCAGAACTAATCTACAGATTTATATCTAATCTGAAAAATCTGCCTTTGGTTCAGTTTTTTTTCCCCAGTTCAGGATTCAGTGCTGGAGAGTGGATGATGGAAAGGGAGAAATCTCCATCTTTTCCTGCAGACACTCTCCCAGGGATGCTGCTCAAGGCTGCAGCACTCACCAGGAATTTGAACAAGCTGCCCTGTTGCAATCTGACATTTCCAACTGTATTGAGAAAGATGGTTATATGAGGGTGTCTGATCTATCAAAAACAATCTTTCAGTTTCCTTCTCACATCAACTGTATTTTTATCAAATTATCTCATTTTCCTTACAAAATAATTTGTTACCTGAGAGAGAACTTCACCCAATTCTCCTGTCTCCTCTCTGGTTGTCCCTGGAGCTCCATAAAGGCCACCAAGTTTGTGGATTCAAAGCACTTCTATAAAAGGAGATTCCAGTTAAATATCACACAGATATTTTAACGTGGTGAACTGGATTTGTTGGGGTCTGGTTAAACACAAGGGAGCAGCCAGGTGTGATTTCCAGCAGCAGTTTTGCCTCTGTTTGAAGCTGCAGAGCTGACAAAGAAGAGCTGACAAACTCTTTGTTATAGATACATATATTGTTGGTTTTTCTCAAATATTAAAATGAATGTTATGTGTATAAGAATGAAAATTTTTGTTGTATTAATATAGTTTTCTTTATTTCTTTTATTGATGAAACTTAGAAATAGTGGTATAATACATATATGTTAAGCTATGACATAGCATTAAAACAAAAACTACTTTTGTCTGTATAACCCAAAGGCTGAAAAAGATAGCTGGAGACCCTTTTTTTCTTTTGTAAACTATCTTATCCAGATGAACACAGCAGTGACCAGAACTCTGGGGGAGGAATTTATTGCATTTCTTGTATCAGGGAATGTAAATCTCAGTGGTGCCAAGAGGATTGATCTATTGGGGAGGGGGCAAGAGAAAACTAAACAGAAGAACACCAAAGATCCTAAGAAGAATGTCTGAATATGTGTGAGAATTTATGGATATGTAGTAGGGTTCTGTTTTTAAGGGATAATCCTTTGTTAGTAAGGTGTGCTCTCTTGGCTGAATGCAGAGACACCTGGCCACATTTGTATACTTTACTTTATCTTTTTCTCCTAATTGTTTTTCTATTAAACTTTTAAATTCTATAAAAATTATGTGAACCTCGTTTTTCACACTCTTCCTTCTGCCTCCTGCTTGGCTCCCTCCCTTCCCACTTGGTCTTTCCAGAACTACCAGGGAACAAAACCTCTGCAGCTCAGCTCCTTGCTGCAGGGCAGGGATTCCAGCTGTAACAAACATCATCATCACCACCACAGCCACTTTCAGCTGGAAGGAAACCTGATGCTTTCATTTTTCAAGCCAGAATAAGAAGATCTAGAGTCAATTCTCAGTTACCAGGATGAGCAGGGCTTGGGCAGCTCAGGACAGATGGAGCTTGTCCTGCATCCCTGTCCCAAACCTGTGCTCCTTCCCACAGAGCTGTAGTGATATGTCTGCACCCTCAGATTCCTGATTTACACAGCCAGAAGAACAGGAGACACATTTTTACACTTATTTAAGGGAATGAGACACCCATGGCTGACTCACTTTCACCAGTATTTATCTTTATTGAAAACCCCAGGCAGAGCAGGAGCTGGAAATCACAGTCCAAGCCCCAAATCAAGCTGGAGCCTCCAGCCAAGCTGCCCAGGACTGAGCTGCTGTGTCCTGATTTCTCCTCCTTTTGACATCCCTAAATGTATGGCCCATTACAGAATGTCCACATGCTCCGTGGGGCAAACTGCACTTTGGGGAAAACCCACACACCATGTGGGATTTCACCAGAAAAACACAAAACCAAACCCCAGCACAGGGAAGGAAGAAGAAGAAGAAGAAGAGGAATCATGTTAATGAGGGGAGCTGATCATGGCTAATGAGTCCATGTCTGGAGTCTGTTTTAAAAATGCCCTGAGAACTTTACTGATGAACACAGACATCTTGTGTGAGCTGAAAATATCGTGAGAGCTTGGAACTCGGTGTTGAGGGTGTGCTGAAAAGGTCAATGATTTAATGGGCTGGAACAATTAATCTGGCACTTGTCTATACACCTGTTCTCTTAATGATGTGACACATCTCCCTTCTGTGTTCCCATCTGTCAACAATTAAGCTGTAATTGGTGGAAATGCAATTTATCTCAGACAGAGCTGATAAGTTTTCCAATAATCGTGTTGCCAGCCATGAGGGAAGAGTGCTGCCCACGGAGAAGTGCCTGTGGACCACTCAATCCATATCAGAGACTGCAGAGAAGACTCTCTGAACATTAATTTATCAATCTGCAGCGTGCAGAAGTTGCTTGTACGGAAGGGATAAAATCAGCAAACCTGCTCCCATCACAGGGGGAATGGCTTCCTCCTGGCAGAGGGCACGGTGAGGTGGGAAATTGGGAGGAATTCCTGGCTGTGAGGGTGGGGAGGCCCTGGCACAGGGTGCCCAGAGAAGCTGTGGCTGCCCCTGGATCCCTGGAAGTGCCCAAGACCAGGTTGGATGGGGCTTGGAGCAGCCTGGGATAGTGGAAGTGGGATAGTGGACTCCATTCTTTGAGTCTATGAAATTCCTCTGGTGCTCAAAACTGCTTTTCTGTGCTGTTGATTGTATTAATCCATCACAACCTGTAGAGAGACAGGTGACATCTCCTCCTCTGCTTTCCAACATCCTTCCAGACACTGGAAATGAAAACTTTTTCTTCCTTACTAAAGGTGAAACACAGACTTCTCTACAAACTGCAGAAGGTGTGGGAAGGAAAACCCCAACCAAGCTCCCACAGTGAGTGTCCTGCACCTCAGCAGTGGAGACTTTAGAGAGGCTTTCAGCTGGAGTCCTTTGGAGGCTGAGCCATCACAGCCAGCTCTAGAGAGGACACAGCTCTCCACTCACCACATCTGAGCACACACAGCTTCAACCCCACAGAAACCCCACAGAAACCAGAGCCCCTCACCCCCCTGAGCCTCCCCAGGGATAAAAACATCTTTCTGTGGCTCTCCCACACTACCCAAAGCTTTAAGGCAAGGCTGGACCCTTCCTGCAGGGTAGAGGAGTCTCCACACAGGAGCTGTGCTGGGGCAGGAACTGCTCAGCCCAGATTGAGCACCAGAGAATTCAAATGATTGTTTTTCACCAAAACGGCAAAGAATGGAGATTTTACACAGTTAATGATGTGGGTGTGTATAGCAGCAAATGGTACAGCCCAGGAGATGTAGGTCAGATAGATCCCTGCCCCAAAGGACATTTGATCTCCCCAGGGAAATGATTATAGGATGTTTTTGTCAGTACAAACATGGCCAGAGCAAGCCAAGTTCTTCCAGCTCAGGATTAGCTAAACCAGTTTTGCTGAAATGTTAAATAAAAATGATAATGCTCAGCCTGAATCTGTACCAGCCTGGCAAAATCATTAGCAATTAAATGTGCAGTTTATAATAGGAAATGTCAATGAACTGTACTTCTGTATTTAAAAAAGGAGCTGGGGTTGCTGTAACACCTCTGTTATTGTTCTTGAGAAAAAAAAAATAAAAATTAATTACACTTAGCAAAGAGAAGTGTTAGGTAAATAAAGCTGAACAAAGCCACACTGTAACTGGATCTCACTGACTAGTCTGGATTAATGGGATTTTCTAACCTCCCTGGGCTCAGTCCCACCTGGTGCTCGGAGTATTTGACCTCCCCAGGAATGTGAGTCTTCAGCATCACATAACATCCTCCTGCCCCGATGCACACAGGCATTGAAAAGCAGGGGAAACCCCACCATCTGAGCCACTGGGATACATCCAGCAGCCTTATTAAAGCCTTTATCTGCCCTGCCTCCCTGGAAGGTGTGTGACAGGCGACTGGGATTGCTTCAATCTGCTTACACAAAGCTGCAGAGAAAAGCCCCCAAGAACAGCGACTTGAGCAGCTCCGTTTCAGGCTGTACACGAAGATTAAAGTCTTATCACCAGCTTGAAAAAATACCAAGCGTGGCAGGTTTTTGTTTGCCTCGCCAGGTATCCTCAGACTGCTCTGTGACAGCACAGCCCCAAACCTGCTGCTTTCCCACGCCCTCACAGCCTCCAGCTTTCTTCAAATAATTCCTGAGTGAGGTCAAGCAATGGCTCAAGGGTCCTCTGATGAGTGAAGAGGAAGGAGACAGCTCCTGTTGGAGCCTCTTTAGCTGCTCCTGGATTCTGAGATGCCTCTCCCTGGCAGCAGTGCTGGTGCAGGGATCCCTGTCCCAGTGGGAACACAATCCATCTCCACTGATGCCCCAGGCTGCCCTCAGATCCCTCCTGCTCTTCAAAGAGATAGCAAAAAATATTTATTTCTTGCTTTGCACAAGGGCTGTAGCTTTTTGCCACCTACTGACACGTTGTGGGAACAGCTCAGCCAGAGAATTCCTGCAGGAAAGCTCAGCCCTGCCCGGGCTCTGGCTGAGAGGGACAGGAAAATAAAACCAGGAGTGAACGGGGAGCTGGCTGCGCTGCCAGGAGAGCAGCACTTATCCCACAGAATCTTAGAACATCCTGGGCTGGAAGGGACTCACAAACATCATCAAATCATCATCAAATCATCATCAAATCCAGCTCCTGGCCCTGCACAGACGCCCCAACAATGCCACCCTGTGCCTGAGAGCATCATCCAAACCCTCCTGGAGCTCTGGCAGCCTCAGGGCTGTCCCCATCCCCTGGGGAGCCTGGGCAGTGCCAGCACCTCTGGGGGAAGAATTTCCATGAAATCCAACCTAAACCTCCCCTGGCACAGCTACAACTCCTTTGGCCCAATATCTGACTGGTGCTAGCTGTAATTCTCTTTGTCTCAGCCTTTGAGCACCTCGTTTCGTCATTCCAGAGAAGAGGATCCTGTGAGAAATCATTCTTCCTGCTGGCAAAACCCAGCCTTGCTTTCTTCCCCTTCTACCTTGCCCCAGTTCACCTAGTTTTTTCCCTTTTCTCTCCCCTTAAATTCCCTTTCTGGCCAGGTTGGATGGGGCTTGGAGCAGCCTGGTTTAGTGGAAGGTGGTTGGATTGGTGGTTGAATTCCAGCTCCTGCCTGTGGCAGGGGGTTGGAATTAAAGGTGATCCTTAAGGTCCCTTCCAACCCATTCTGGGATTCTGTGACATGAGCCTTTACCAATACAGGAGATACCTGTGGGAATTAGAAAATCTGGGGGATCCTCCATCTGCCCAGAGCTTCTCCCATTTTTTACTCCATGTTTTGTTCATTCCCATCAGCGCTGATGCTCCCTCTGGGGGATGGGGCAGAGCAAACCCTGCTGTGCTCCTGATCCAGCCCCAAATTTCCCTGCTCCTCCTGACACCCAGCTGGCATTGCTGCTGATAACCACCCTGGTCAGTGCTTAGCTGCTGATCCTCACAGCCAGGATTTAACATCCAAAAATCCTTCATTTCACTCTATTAAAATGTTAATAACCAATGAGAAAAGAGGGACAAAAAGGAAAAGTTTTGCAGTCACCCCTTGCAGATGCACATTTCTAATTCAACCCTGAGGACCAAGCAGTTGTCTCTCACTGGTGGCCACTCGATTCCCAGCTCCAAAAAAGCACCCAAAACAACCAGCATGGCTTAGGACTTCCACAAATTCAGGCTGAGCTTAAAAGCCAGGCATTACTCCTACTTAACACACAAACCACCTCCTTCAGTTTAGCCAAGTTGACCTAAAAATACAGCTTTTTGCCACACAAAGATGCCTTTCAGAGTTGCTGGAGCTGATTTTTTTTTTTTTTTTCAGTGTTCTTCTTAGGAAAAAGCTTCTGAAGCTTCATTTGGCTATGCTGCACTACACAGGGACTGTGAGGCCATTGCTGCTGCCCTGGGATGGGGATTGATAAAATAAGACAATTTTCTGCAAAATATGTCTGTAGGTCCTTGCAAAAAAAGTGTTTTAAAAATTCTGCTTTTGCCTAAGAATCTTCCACTCTTAAAAAACAAATAAACAGAAAGGGAACCAAGATTAAGAGCAGGGTTTTGGTTTGGGATTTTTCTCTGGTTTTCATTTATTGGAATCCCACTATTCAGCCACAACAAGTTATTGCTGCTATTTTTGTAAAGATGATTCCTAACAATGATCTGGCAAGATATTACTAAAAGTAATCACAAAAATGTGGCAGAAAATACCATGCTAAAGCTAGAGAAGGAAAGAAGGAGAATAAAGAAAAAAAAAAAGAGAAGGTCTTCTCTCTGTAGCAACATTTGCTTTCAACTTGTATTTTAATTTGCCCTAATATCCTCCTAATAAAACTCCCCTGGTGCAACTTGAGGTGATTTCCTCTTGTCCTGTCACTTGTTCCTGGGAGAAGAAAACCACCCAAGCCTCATTTATATCTAGGGGTGTCTTCAGGCATGAACAAAATTATCCATCTCCTAGAGAAAGAGTGTGGTGGGGAGTAAAAGTCCTGGTCCTGCTGGTGCTGGAGTCTTGGACAGCCAGATGGGACAAAAATTAGGGTACATGGGGCTGGAGTCACTGCCAGCTTTTGCCTCAGCAGCCAAGGGTCACTGTTCTGACTTATTTTCCCAGCTCCACCCTGGGAATCATCCCTGGAATCTTCTCCTACCTTCTTCCCTCCTATCTGTGGGAACACAGATATAAATCTGCACATAATATGAAGTTATCCCTAATTTTTTCCCTCTTTGGTTGCAGCACAGTGAAGAGTTTTCTGATCCAGGTGTTTAAATTAAAGGAGTCCAGTCTTCATCTGTGTAAAAAAGGGAAAAAAATAATTACAAAACACTAAAAAGATTTTTAAAAACCCAACAAAAATACAGAGAAATGTATGTCTGAGTTGGAATTAGGTAGCTCAGAGAAGGAAAAGACTTTTTCTTCTCAGCAAGAAAAGTCATGTAAGTGGTTATGCTGTGGAAATAATTAAAATGAGTGAGTCCTTACCTCTTCATTTCCCAGCTTTTGAGTACTTGAATTGTGTACCTGACGTTCTAGTTCAGCACAATGAGACCTGGCTTTGTGCTCACACCAGGAACTGGGGAGGGACACTGAGATGTGGAGCAGGGATCTGTGAGAAGAAAAACCTTTGCAGAAAATCACTGCTCTGAGCCCAGATGTGTCCAGCTTCAGGGAAATAACACCTGCCCGTGCCACCCTTCCTGTTTGCTGTATGGAGAAAAGTCACTGGAGCCCCTCTGCTCTGGATCCAGGCTGGGAGAGCTGGGAGTGCTCACCTGGAGAGGAGAAACCTCCAGGGAGAGCTCAGAGCCCCTTGCAGTGCCTGAAGGGGCTCCAGGAGAGCTGGAGAGGCACTGGGGACAAGGGATGGAGGGACAGGACCCAGGGAATGGCTCCCAGTGCCAGAGGACAGGGATGGATGGGATATTGGGAAGGAATTCCTGACTCAGAAGGTGATGAGGCCCTGGCACAGGGTGCCCAGAGCAGCTGTGGCTGCCCCTGGATCCCTGGAATGTTCCAGGCCAGGTTGGATGGGGCTTGGAGCAGCCTGGGATAGTGGAAGGTGTCCCTGCCCATGTGGAATGAGATGATCTTAAATGTCCCTTCCAACCCAAACCATCCTGTGATCCTTTGGGGTTCAAGGGACTCATGGTCACCAAGGGCTGCTTTTGAAAGCGTGGCTCTTCTGACACAAACCTTCCACAGAACCTGTGAGGGCACCACAAAATCTGGCTCAGTGTCCCAAAGCACTTCCCATCAGACAGCTTCTGTCTGAGAGAAATAATGGAATGCTTTTAGGGCAGCTTTTTCCCTGCAGTCACCTCCCTTCAGTGTCAGATTTTGCCAGCCAGATGCAGATTGCCCTGAGAGAGTCAGGTGTAAAATCCCCCTCGGGGTTCCCTGTCCCTGCCTGCTGCCACCCCCAGCTCCCAGGCCCCTGGCTATCATCTTCCATCCCTTCTTCCATCCCTTCCCTAATGGCCTGCTTTGATGTCCAGGTGTAACAGGATTCAGCGGTGCTGATTTCACTGATTAACACACAAATCACACCCGGAGACTGGATGCTTTCTGCAATTAATCATCCTCTTGGCACATTTCAAAGAGCCCAAGAAAAATGAATTAAGAAAAAAGACCTCAGACAGAAAAACAAGGCAAATAACTGCCCCCAAACATGTGAACAACATCAGCTCAGGTTTTCTGCTGATGGTTTTCCTCAGAGCACAGAAAGCACCATCACCTTCTCTGCCAGGAGAAGGAAGGTGTTTGGTGACCAAATAAATGCACACGAAGCCCCTGACCTTGAGGAAACGTCCCTGCTTTTAGAGGACAGGCAGTAACCCAACACCTGGGGAAGCAGCAGATTCCCCACACAATTAAAGCCTGTTAACATGAAACCCAGCCTCTCATCCCAGCTGGAGATCTGGGGTTAAATGTGCTGGGAGAGCAGAGCCTGGTGTGAGAGAGCAGCGTGGGGTTTCTTCCCATCCCCTGAGGTGACCTTCTCAGCCCTGAGCGGGTTCCTAACTTGCCACACCTTCTGCTGCAGTGAAACTTTCCCTAAAGATTCATGGATTGGAGCTTCTTTCTCCCTCACAGCCAGTGCATCTCTCCCCACAGTGTTTTGTGGCAGAAGTACTCGGACCAGGGCTCAGTTTCAGGATGAAGCTGATGAGGAAAAGCTGTGGCCACGGGGAGGGCTCTGAGGGATCCCTGAGCATCCATCTCCCTGATGTCAGAGTGGACATAGGTGGCTCAGAGGGATGCAGCTCACACCTCCAGCATTCAGAAGAAAAAGCTTTTGCACAAATTTTCATTGTTCTCTCTCGGTGCCTGGCCAGAAACCAACAATAACCCCAAAAGTGTTCAAAGGACACAGAAAGTGTAAATGAAAGAAAACAGCAGCGTTTCCAAATGGAAAAATGAGCATTTATCATTCCAGGTAAAGCTTAAGCTTGTTTACCAAGATGGATTTGGCAGATGTGATTAACTCCCTGCTCTCAAACATGAACATTTGTCTGCCTGCTTACACCACCCCAGTGGGGGCTCAGCTCTCTGCTGAGCACCCCTGGACGAGGAGGAGATCCTTCCCTGGCTCCGTGCATGCCAGGGGTGTGGTGGACAGAGAAGTTGGGAGCAGCTTCTGCAGAACTCCCTCTGCTTTCCTTCTCCTCTGGGAGAGCCTCCACTGCCACACCAGCCTGGAGGAAATAAAATTAATCACAGGGGGCTGGAAAGCCAGAGGCTGAAGGGCAGGTGATTGTGTGATTGTGTTCCTGGAGGAGGTGGACACAGGAGCAGGGGTCAATCTGGGTTATTTTATAACTGAATTGGAAGCTGCTCCATGGAGCAACACACAGGGCCAGGGCTGCCAGCGTTCAGCTGGGAGCTGGAAGAGGTCACTCATGGTGCCTGAGCTGCTCTCCCAGCCAAAACACCAGGGTCTTCCTCTCCCTGCCCCCAGCTTTTCCTCTGCTAGCTGAACCTTGCTGGGAGCTGGCTCAGTTTATCACCCTGGCAGAAACACAGATGTGTTTTTGCTGAGGGACACAATCTTCTCAGAGGAGGGCACACACCTGCTGCAGACAGGGCTGCTCTTCCACCCTGTTTCTGTCTTTCTGTAGGCTCTGGTAGCCCATTCTGCACCAGGAGTTTGTTTTTTTCATCACCTCTCAACCTGTTCAGGTATCTCCTTCTGGCCACACGAACTCCTCAGCTGAATGAGGAGCTGCCCTTTCACAGCAGACCCTCCTGATCCCTCTGCAAGAGGCATCACGTTGTTGTCATGCTTTGCAGTCCCAAATTTTCTGTGAAATCCCCCTCCCAGCCCCCCAGAGTGCCCACCTCCATGCATGCAAGAGACACTGGGGATGCTTCACGAGCTTCACACCTCTGATTTCCCATCCCTGGCACTCTCCTCCTATCCCTCCCCAGGTTTTATCCCACCTGTGTTACCCCACCCTATTTCTTCCTATCAAGGAAGAATCTGTTCCACCAGGCTTGCTTTGCCCCAGCTGTGTAAAGCACATAAAAATATGGAGAGTTTTGTGCCCTCTGCCCTGTGACACTGCTTCATCCATCAGCACAGCCTTGCCTCCCTGCTTCCCCCCGTGTTTCCTATTAAAAACCAAGTGGAGAGAATAGACCTGTGCATCCCAACCTTCTCTTGCCTCATTTCTATGTAAAGCTCTTATCAGCAAGCCCGAGCTGCTGCTGCTGCTGCAGATTATTCACCCAACACAGACAAGTGGGATCACCCAGGCAGTGGTGGAGCAGGCTCCCAGCAGAATCCAGATGCAGATACTCCAGATCTTCAGGAAGCAGCCTCATGGTACTTGTTGAACCACATAAAGAGCACTGTGGGGCACAGCTGTAGGAGCCAGAGGACTGGAAAAGCAGCTGGAAGCTTTCAGAAGGAGAAAAACCTTGCAGTAAATTTACTTCCGAATTTGATTCCAAAATTGACTTCCAAAGGTGGCCAGGTTGTCACATGGAGCAAAAAGTGGCTGCTCTGGATAAACCATTTCCCTTGAAAAGACAATTCCTTTGTATAGAGTCTGTATCTTGAGATTTTTGAGTGAATACCATGCATTGAGAGCAACAATGTGGAGAATTGTGGAATCATTTAGGTTGGAAAAGCCCTCTAAGATCATCCAGTCCAACCAATTCCCCCAGCACTGCCAAAGCCACCACAAACCCAAGTGCCACATCCACGTGGCTCTGAAATCCCTCCAGGGATGGGGACTCCAACACTTCCCTGGGGTTGACAATCTTTCCAGTGAAGAACTTTTTGCCTGTATCCAATCCAAACCTCCCCTGACACGATTTGGGGCCGTTTCCTCTTGTCCTGTCCCTCGTGACCTGGGAGATGAGACCCCAGCCCTGCATCCACGTGTTCACAGCCAAACCGATGCCAACCCCACCTTCACTGTCTGCAGGCAAAAGGGTGAAATTCTTGCTGGGAAACAGAAGCAGAAATGTGGGAAATGTCCAGGATACATGGGGATATGACTGTGGCTGTAGTTTCATGGCCAGGGGGTCATTCTGCTCTCACTGCTGGAGAAGGGGAGCCGTGTCCCAAGGCAGTGTGGCTGTGATGTGCAGAAGGGATTTACAAGTGCCAGTTCAAGCTTTGCCTGCTCCACAGAGGCTTCAGAGAGCTGCCCCAGCTGAGGCAGCTTCTGGTGTAGCTCTGTTTCAGGAGGTGGTTTGCTTTATTACTGTTTTGTCAGCTGTTACCTACTGTGGTTCACCATTTCCCCCTCAAGTCCCAGTTTTAAGGAAAAATTCAGTTTCTGTTTGGCAAAGCAAGGCGGGCTAAGCCTCGAGCCTCACCTGAGTCACAGGAGTCACAGGCCCCATCCTGTGTCAGGAGCAGCTTTAAGGATTAATCCCTGTGGCTGCAGAAAGTCCCCAGCAAAAACTGCTTTGGCTCAAGTCCACGAGATCGGGCTCCTGTAACAACCAAGTGCTGACAAATGGTAACTCCCAAAGCAAATCCTGGCCTTGCCCTTCTTTGTGCCTTTCCCCTGCCTTGTGATCTGGTGTTTCAAGCTGGATGATGCTTGTTCAGGTCATTCTTGTTTGCACAGAGAGAAGAAAAGCATTGAGGATGAGCAGATTTCCTAAGGATACCACTCCTGCACATCCCAAGCCTCCCATCTGTACAAGGTTTGGACAATCCATGTACTCCAAATCATGGTGACAGCACTTGCCTCTGAAAAAGCAGCAGCTGATTTCCAGAATTCATGAATCCAAGGGATTCCAGCACACCCAGTCTCTCCTGCCTCACTTTCCCCTTCCTCCTCTCTCTGAGGGCTCCTCCCCATCCTGTCCTGAGCCAGTTTGCCCGATGCTGACTGACAATCATCCAATGCATGCTGGCAGAAAGGAGTTTTGGGGCTGGATACAACCAAAAGAAACCCCAGAAAATTATCTTTGTATTTCAAGAAGCAGAAATTTACAGCTTAAAGAAATCTAAATCTCCATGGAAATTATTTACCAAGGAAAACTTACCCACAGTAACCCATCCTTTGAGTGTTAGAACAGCTTGAAACTAAAAGTTTGCAGAGCTCAAGCAGGAGGGGAAGAGGGATGAAGCTGGAAAAAGATCATTAAGAAGACATTTTAAAAATGTTTTTCCGGAATTTGATTTTTATTTCCTTGCCTGGACTAAGCTCTTCAGCTGGTGGGGAAAAACACAGAAGTCAGTTGCAGGATCTGTGAGAAATAAAAAGGGCTCTTTCTGTAGGTTCAAAATGTTCCTGGGATTTTGAGGCTGAAAGTTTTCCGAGAGCACTTCTTCCAAAGGGCTTTCCAAGAACACACAGTGAACTGCAAAACAATCTCACAGAGAACTACAAGATTCCTGCTGGAGAGATAGAAAAGTTATTTCCACATGGACAGAGCCAGAACATTGACGTCTGACATTTCAATAAATGTATTTTTGGCCTATTTTGACACAGTACAAAGGACTGAGATTATAGAGCCCAATGCAAGGCAGCACCTCTGTAAATGTCTGCTCCATATTCCATTTATCAGTTTATAAATGGAGCCATTGGAGAAATCTCTGCTTCATTGACAGCCCAGAGATCGCCAGATTTTCAATTTCCCTTCAATAAAACTGAAAAATAAAACCCCAAGGAGAACACTTTCGCTTTTTAATCATATCCAGGCCTGTTTCCTGTAATGAAGAACTACTTTTCCAGTCTCAAGAGAGCAATTCTTTGAATGTCACTTTCAGACAGCGAGATAAAAATCTCTGCTATTTGCAGGAGAAGGCTCCGACTGCCATTTGTGGCTTGAACCACTTCCCAATTTATTTACTTTCTGAGGCTGTTTACATTTTCAGGCAGCCCAGCTCACTCATCCCTAACAAGTTCAGTTTATTGCTGCAAGAAACGCAGCCCTGTGCCAGCCACAGGAGAGACTTCGGACCTAAGGACACACAAAAGGATTTTGGATCAAGTCACTTGAGTAAAAAAATGTGTGGAAAAGAAAGAAAAAAAATTAAAAAATGCCATTTTCTGGTGAATTCTGTCACTGACCAGCAGCAGGAGCCATGGAGAGTGCAAGCCCTTTGTTAGGGCTGAACCTGAAACTGCTTTGCATCCCTGGAGAGCTGCAGGACTCCCAGATCAGCACAGAGAGATGAGAGAGAAGGACATCCTTAATTTGTCTGAAGAGCAGCATTTCCTCTTCATATAATTATCTCCTCCAGCAAAGCCTCCTGCTCGGAGTCAATGGGGTTGGAGCACACTTAGCCCAATTCAGGAGTGACACATCAACCCCTTTCATCAAATGCATCCAACTCTGAGGGCTCCTTTGTTTGTTCTTGCTGATATTAAAGACTAATTTTGATTTAGACTGAGAGCCTTTTCCATCCCTCAGGAGGGAGCCGTGGCAACATGAGAGTATTCAATTAACTGTGCTCTAAATTACTCATGGAAAGGAGTGTGTTCACATGGACAGGGCAGGGATTTTAGGGTATTGTCTGGAAGGGAGTTGCATGGCTAATATAATAAAAGTATTCAAAATAATATATATATTAAAAATAATATATTAAAATAATTAATATAGTATAATATAGTATAATATTGTGTGATATAATATAGTATAATAATATAATATAGTATAATAATATAATATAGTATAATATAATTATATTATTAATATAATATAATATCATAAATATCATAAATATAATATAATATAATATAATATAATATAATATAATATAATATAAATATATGTTTTCCAGGAGCTGGGCTACAATGATCTTTATGGGTCCCTTCCAACTCAGCTTATTCTATATTATTATTATTATTATTATTATTATTATTATTATTATAATATAAATAACTTCAGCTTTGCATTATTATTCTTACTTTATAAATAACTTCAGCTTTGCATAAATCTTTCTTACTTTAGCAAAGCTGCTTGGTCACCTACTTTTACAACCTTCCTCTTAACTGGTATTTTACAAACAACAAAAAAAGGAGCAGCAGGTGGCATCTTGTTACAGATAGAAAGCAGAAACCAGTTATTATTAAGCTCCAACATTCAATCTTTAGCCACCACCTCCTCTTTGTCACCTTCTCTCTGTCTTTGCACCTGGAGAGAAGCATTCATTTCAGCAGAAAGTAATTTTCCTGTCCTGCTTTTGCTTTATTTTTTTTTAAAAGGAAATGCCCCAACTCAAGGCAATAGCTGGTGCAGAAAATAGGAAAAACACCTCAGAAAAGAAGCTGCTTAGGACACTTTTTGCTGATGCTCTCAGGGTTCAGTTTTGATTGTGATAGATGATTTCTGAAATCCAGGATGGAACTTGTGGTGGATGCAGAGCTGGAATTTAAATGTGTCTCTCACCTGGAGGTTACATCCTCCAGCCACCTGCAAGGGCTGAACAGCTGGAGAATCATTCACTAGAATAACAGAATCATGGAATGCTTTGGGTTGGAAGGGACCATCTCTTTCTAACCCTCTGCCATGGCAGGGACACCTTCCACTATTCCAGGGTGCTCCAAGCCCTGTCCAGTCTGGCCTGGAAAACTTCCAGGGATGGGGCAGCCACAGCTGCTCTGTGCCAGGGCCTCAGCACCCTCAGAGTCAGGAATTTCTTCATCATCTCCAATCTAAACCCACCCTCTGTCAGTTTGAAGCCATTCCCGTGTCCTGTCAGTCCATGCCCTTGTAAAAAAGTTCCTCTTTAGGTACTGGAAGCTGTAAGGAATGATAAAAGCAAGTGGAAGGAGAAAAGCCGTGGAGCTCCTGGCAGATGAGCAGCAGTCTCTGGCAGGCTGGTTACAGCCCTCAGCCACCTGCACATCACACAGGCACAATTGCTGGCAAATTCCCAGTTTGAGGAGCCTGCACATAATGGTAGAGGGAATAAAGCTCCAAGTACATGAAAAGTACTTTGAGAGGATTTTAAAAGTACATTTTTTCAAAGTATGAAAAGAAAACCCAAGATTCCTCTGTACGCTTTAAGAGTTCTCAGCGTTGCAAGGGCTGCAAGCAGCACTCAATTCTTGCTTACCTGCAAGCAGAATAACAAACCCCCCTCCTCACCTCCCAGGAAAATCCAGAGTGTGTGTGTTAATCATGACTTGACAGCCATAAAAAAGGACCCATTTCAGCTCAGCTATGACACTGTTCAGATAAATGATGTTCAAGATGCTTCTGACACAGGAATGGCAACTTTTAAATCAAGTCATGAGAGACAGTTTTCTCTTGTAAAAATTTTCCCACCATTTCTCTGCCAGAGAATTCCAGAATGGTTTGGGTTGGAAGGGACCTTCAAGATCCATGGGCAGGGGTACCTTCCACTGGCCCAGGCTGCTCCAAGGCCCATCCAGCCTGGCCTTGAGCAAGTGTGTATTTGTATTTTGTAGACAAAACAATCATCAGAACATTCCCGTTGAAAAGGAAATAGATAAACAACGTAACCATTTATTTGACTGCATTGTATTTAGACAACTTGTACATTTTGTAACCCCACTGGTTTTGTTCTCATCAAAAAGGATAAAGGGACAGAAGAATATAATCCACTCAAAACAGCAGTCCAGTATTTTGAGATACACTTGCTATTTTCATAGATGCCCACCTGATACCTGAACTCCAACATAGGTTGTAATGTTTATACAAGACCTGAAGTTTTTTCAACACAGCACTGAGTTGTAGCAATGTCTTGCAGTGCCCTGAAAAATAGTTTGTGACATACTCTGCAACACCAATCTGATGATGCCTTGAAGGTGATGAACCTGATCATTTCTTAAAAAAACAACATAATGAATGCAAACATCCAGACCAACATGTCAGCCAGTAGCAACATTTGGGCAAATTTAAATATAAAAGCAATCAACTCCTTAGTTAGATTTGTCAATGCAAAAAGGCGAGGGGGAGAGAACTGTGTTTAGCAACAGACAGGAGAAATAACCAACATTTCCTTGCTAGATTCCTTTTGAAAATCTATGCAAATTCAAGGCTTCTCACTTGATTTCCTAATCCCAAGCAGTACAGAGAACAAATCTGTTTGACAGGACCCAACACATGCAGCTTCAGTGTCTCCTGCAGTGAACTCTGTGACACAGCAGCCATGGCAGAACCTTTCAGGCCACGTGCTCTTTGAAAAACAAAAACTGCACCTATTTTGCTCAGTATTTTCAACACAGGCATGGCAGCAACCACTTCTTACAATAACCAACCAGAATTGTATTTGAAGTTTGCTCCAGAGGGATATTTTTAGCAGTGAGGAGAGATTTCAGCTCACTTCCAAGTCAGCTTTTGAATCTGAAGACACCCACAGCTTAAATATTAACCAATAGAAAACTTGCCTGTCTGGCTTTGCAGATTGAAACCCCAGCAAGACACACAAGGCAACCCAGTTTGCAATTTGTGATTCAAGCCCAGCAGCTGCTTGCAAGGTCTGAAACCTCCCAGATCCAGCTCCAGGGCAGTCCCTACATCCTGCACCACAGCTGAGGGAAACCTGACTCAATGGAGTGGCTACCAACATTGAAGTCTTAACACTGAGCAAAACTGCTGAAAAGCCACCCAAAAAAACTGGCACTGCTGAGGGGATGGGGCAACAAGAGGTTTTGTTGTGTCACAAGGCAGCAGTGGCTACACACAGGCTTTAGGCTGAGCTCCAGCATGTCCTGGGAGTAACAGACCCCTCTTACAACAACACCTCGTCTTGGGCACCCTCTTAAAGATGAGTTTTCTTTTCTGAGGGGAACAGACCCCCTGGACAGCACAGATGGTGTCTCTACAAGCAGAAAACTCAGCAGGGCCAATTTCCATTAAAAATCTTTATTTTCAAATACAACTCATGATTTGTACATGGTAAGAAATGTCCATCACCATGTGCGATTGGTCTGTGCAAAAGGCGGCTTTGCTCAAATCCAGTTTTCCTGCACAGGGCTCTTTTCCAAATGATACTGGAGGTAGGGGTTTTGTTGGTTTTGTTTTTAGTGTACAGTAATTAGCTAAAATGAAAACAAACAAACAAAAAAAAAACCCAAAACCAACCCCATGACTCAAACCAAACCTTAAAAAGAAAAAAAAAAAAAAAAAGTGTAGTAAGGCAAATCTGTAGAATTCGCTCGATTCCATGGGAGCAAATTCACTGAGAGTTCATCCTTTTGATCCCTGTACAGACCATTCACCTCAGAGCTGGACTTGATCCTGATGGGTCCCTTCCAACTCTGAAATCTCTGATTACAGAGGTGCTTCCACAAGTCACCTAGTACTTTTATTTTTGTCTTTCAAAATTTATTTAAAAAAAACAAAACAAAAAAAACAAAAAAACCAACCCAACTGATTCATAGATCTGGGCTATGGAATCACACAGAACAAGAAAGCCTCGACACTGTCATTACTGAAAAAATTGATGGGTATTTGTAAAATCTATGTAAGCCCAAATAAAGAAAGGAAAAAAAAAAATAGAGAAAAACAGAGCAAGAGTGAATGCAAGAAAGAGAGACAGAATTCCTTCCCCGCTGCTTTGATTTTAGAGGGGGAAAAAAATCCCCTAATAATTTAGCTCATGTTAAGTTGAGAAAATGAGAGCAGCTAAAAATGAATACGATACACCTTGAAATTTATTTCCAAGACCAAGAACCAAAGATTGAAGCATTTTAGAACACTGAAGCAAAGCAATCTGAATCTGAAAAAAAAAATTGTTCCAACTATCTTAAAATAGCTGTTTCTCAGAGCTTCTAGCAATAATTTTGATTAAATAAAAATCATACCAATTTACATTAATTTTTCTATATCTTCTTTTAAAAGAAGTCCCTCGCTCTTTTAATGAAAAAAGTGCATCCAAACCCAGCAGAAATTCACTGGTGCCACCAGGTTCTTTTAGCAGCTACTCAAGGTTTTCAAAATAGCTTACACTTCTTGCTATAAGAAGGGCCTTCCAACCCCTTGTTTGGGAGAAGTATCCGAATTATAAAAATCTGAAATAATTTATTATCAAATCCAGAATTTAAATAAAAGGAGATTTTTTTTTTTTTTTCCTTGCAAAGACAACTGAAGAAAGTAAAAGAATAAAAGCATGCACTCCAAACTTAGAGGTGAAGACAAATATACTTATCTATACAGGCACTGGCAGACGCAATTTAATGGTTACTCGTTGTAACACACACCCCACCCTACAATACATTTTTTCATTCACTAATCACTGAGGTACCAATATTTAAGAATGGAAAAATTCAATATTGAAAAATAAAACCTAAAATTGAAGCCTTTTTTTTTCTTTTTCTTCTTCTTCCCCAGAAAACTATGGCAATTTTTTGTATGAAATGTTAGTATACTTATAGAATTTTACAATCTACATTGGCTTTATTTTGAATTTTTCGGGAACCAAAAGCGGCATTCCCATCCAGGTTTTCTCTGATAAAACGTTCACTGTGTGGATGTCCTAAAGAGTCAGCAGACTTGCAAATGAATGAACATATCTTGGCTATCACCTGGCACATCTGGCTGGTACCAAAAGGACTCGGAGTCTGAGACAATCGGCTTTAATTCGGAACAAATGCGCCATGCCAAAGTGCAACGAATGTGTGCGACACTCAATGGGACACTGACAGGTTTAAGAGCTGCATGGAAAGTACTAAAGTCCACCTTGCAAAGCAATTTGGGACAAATTGCATTGCATGCAAAGGACAACTCTGCGCTGCTGGGACGTCGCTTGCTCGCTGGGATGGGGTCTCCTAACGCAGCCATAGTTTCAGACGCAGTGCATCCACTCCATTTAAATAGTATCTGAACAGCCTCTTGTCTCGCACAAAACCAAGGTTTTCATAAAGTTTCAAAGCAGACTTATTTGTGATTTCTGTTTCCAATACAACCTTTAAGGGAGAAAAGAAATAAAACGAAAGAAAAAAAAAGCGTGTTGTGTTAGTCGGCAGTTGCAAGTACGTGATTGCTGAACCAATTCCAAAGGTTTTATTTAAAGGTACATTTGTTAGCAATAAATGGAATTCATTCCTTCTTATCTTTACTTAATTAAGCAATATTTCCACATTAAGCATCCATTCCCACATTAAAAAAGAATATAATATAGCAGTTCATCCACAACTGTAATTGTAAACAACATTCAAGATTTTAATTCTTGGCTGTAAACAGTATTTCAGTTCACCACCACGAGGGTAAAAAACACAGCAATAAACAAATCCCAAACAGCCTCTGTCTCCCATCATTCTCCCCCAGAACCCAAGCTACCAAACAGGTTAGGGTCCAAAACACACTTTGAATGAGTGACTGATCTTCTGCATGTCACAAGAACTCGGCACATGAGGATTTACGTAATGATTTGATATCTTTGACCCCTGATTCCTTCAAGTTAGATGTAGGTAAGAGCTTTGAACTGACACCAGATCCAACATTTGCAGTATTTGTGCTCAACACAAGAATCACAGAGTGGTCTGGGCTGGACCTTCAAGATTATCCAGCCCAAGCCTCCTGGTATGGGCAGGGACACCTTCCACTATCCCAGGTTGGTGATCCAACTTGGGTACCAACAAATCCCCTAAACCCAAATCACAGTGCACACCAGAAGAATAAGCAGAGTTTTCAATATTTTTTCCCTTGTTTTGGTAAGATCCCAGCTGCAGAAAGACCTGTCAGAGATAACTCAGACCAAACCCAAGCCCAAGAGTAGTCCAAATTAAGACTCAAAATTGCCTCAGAGCTCTCAAGCACAGGCAAAAAAACTACGCTGGCCTTAACAAGACATTCATCACAAAACTTCAGAATTTGTCAGAATTGTTTCTCTCTCTTTTCTCACTGTGTACTGAACAGAGCTCTGCCATACTGACAAGCCCTGCACCCCTCCACAAAATAAAAACTAATTCTGCCTCTTTACTGGTGTCCAACTCAATTATTTAAGGTTCTGCTATTAGCAAGAGATGCTGGCTGCACAAGAACATGGGCTGAACTAACAAGGCCTGGGCTTCACTTCACACACCCCAACAGTGATCATCCACATATTAAACAGGAGCTGATTCACTATAGAGAGACCATAGAGTGAAAATACAGCACCAAAATATCAGCCTGGATTTGTAGAGTGGTTAAAGTCCATTGATTTCATGGCTTCTGTGGCCTCCCTGCCTTCAAGCACACATTCCTATTCCCTTTCCCCCTGGCCTCTCCTGCCAGATCTCAAGGCTGCTTCCTGAGCTACTTCCAAAGCCACCTGGCAGAAAACCTTCCCTTTTTCTCTCCACAGGGTTTGTTTTCTCCAGTCTGAGTGGCTAAGCCAGCGTGAAAGGGGGAGGCAACCAGTGGTTAGAGTGGCCTGAAACTTGAGTTAAATATATACATTAAATGGATTTTAAAATCTTATTGGAGGTGACCAGTCTAACCACTGGCTGCCACATTCCAATGAGCAATTCCACCTGTGTTTCTCAGTGTAAGGATGTTGAAAGAACAATAAAGCTGGGGATAACAATCCAGTGAACAATGTAAGACTTGGAAACAGCTGGTTTGACAAAAAGGAACTAAGAGTCACACATTAAAATATTAATCATCAGAGTTCTGAAATTACAGCAGGGCAGTGCTGTAGCTGCACACTTAAGACAACCTAATTCAATTCTTAGTTTTGTGACAGGAATGAGAGATTGAATTGCTCTAGTTGGCATCTCCCAGAACATTACTAGCAAGTCCTGTGAGGTGATGGAGTACTCCTAACATCCTTCATGCATTAAAATGGATAACTATTCATCTGTAACAAATTATGGAAGCACCATCATTTTGCTGGAGAGGGCTATTTTCTACACATTGTACAATTCCTTAATTCCAATTTAAACCAAACATTGAAGCCAAAGAAGGAATCTGACCTGTGTAAATCCACTGTGCAGAGGATTATTTATTTGAACTCTCAGCTACCAAGGGCATTCACTCTCTCAAAGGTTCAGTAACCTGGCAGCGTGATGTAACAACTCTATTCAACTGCAAGCTCCAACACCTGGCAATGCTGAAGCACTTCCAGCATTGCAGCTGACTGAGCTGAAGGGAGTGGTTAAATGTTGAAATACAGGTTTGTTGGAATCCCACTACCTGAGTGAATGCTCATCTTGAAAGCAAATGCAACAGATTTGTTCTGGTATTTCTAAAGAAGTCTCAGCATAATGAAAAGTAATTCCCTGATCTCAACATAATGCAGCTGAAGATATGTTTCTGCTATCTGAAAAGGAAACACAGGCATATTTTATTCAGATTTCATTAGCTTCCTTTGGTGGAGAGTGCATCTCTTCCTGAGATTTTCAATCAAGCTCCAAACTTTCAATTGTTACATTTATTTCTGCTCTTGTGGGTCGATTTTGTTGTACACATATGCCTGTTAAATCCTCTGATAACACAATAACATCCCCCTGAAGGGCAGCAAAGCTCTGATTAGATTTAACAGCATTTTCTGCTCAAGCTGCAACTTTCTGAAGGTTATGACGTTCTCTTTTATCTTAAATTTTATAAACCTAACATTTCAGCTCAACTCTAATATTAACTGGCTTTAGAAGCAAGATTTCTATATTAAGAGTGGAGTGCAATGTTCCTTGTACATTTCCATACCTTGAATTTATTCCTGAACTGAAGCCAAGTGGAGTGGTCAAGTTTTCTTGATTCTTCAGTTCAAATTTTAAAGGAACTCAAGTTTAAAACCCAAGTCATAGAAAGGATACAGCCAAATCAAATGAAGAAAGTCCTCTCAGCACTCACAGAGGAGGTTGCTATTCTTAACTTTTAAGTCTGACAGATCATCAGACTCAAGTTATGAGGGCTTGTCCAGTGTCCTTAATCAGTTTAACTGCCTTAACTTTTAAAGAGAGGCACAACCCAAAATCTAACAGTTCATACTTTATATACTTGTAGATTAAGGAGAAACTAAAATATCAGTAATGTAATGATTTCAAATAGGATTCTATAAAGACAAACATTTCATTTTTGCTAGTGTGGTGCTGAATTAAAGTGACACATCTACTAGTGTGGTCAAAACCCCACTCTGAAGTTTCAATGGGACATCCACAAGAATCTGTGGTTCCCTTTCATGTTCTAAATTTTGGCTTAAAAAAGGTTTTTGAAGTCCCCACTTACTGGAGTCTAATTTTCATTAGTTACCACTTGCATGGTACATTATTTCAGTAATATGAAGTGAATGGATTGTCTGTAGATTCCTCAGTCATTTGTTACAGATGGAAAACCTGCATATGAACACAACTCCTCCTTTCTAATTGTAATTAAGGGATGTAACAGTTCCACAGGATGATCTTCAGCTGTAGAGTTTTGGGAAATTGCTTGCCAGCAAAAACAGTACAAAAAGCAACCAGACACCCACCTTGCTGCAGTTAGCACATGCTTTTCTTTCTTAAACTGAAGGAAAATATTTCTAAAACTTTGGAGCTGAAAGTAGAACTATTCACCTTCACCTGATTAATTTCCATAGTTCACCCTTTCTATGCAACTAGCCCATATTTATCCTAAATCACTGTGATGCAATGGAAACTCAGCCCATTACAGTTCACTACCCCAAATATCTGAATTCATGAACATCAAATACTTGAGAAAGTCACAAAGGTAAAAAAGAATAAAAAATAATCAGAGACCCTGAAGTTTTGTAATGTTATGTGCAGACACTCCAGCTGGAAGCTGCTGTTGAGCACTTTCTTCAGGCCTGAAGGTTATTTCTGGTTCAAGCACCCACCCCCAACACCAGATCACTTCCCTGGTTTCTATTCTAATGTAGGCCATGGCCAGCTCCATGGCCAGCTCCTCCCCTGCACACAGATTCCATTCCAGTCAATTCACCTCCTCACTCACTCACTCCACAGCTTTCCCAGAGAAATCACCCCTGTGTGTGGAAGATCTTGAAGCCAGCAGAAGCTGCCACTCAGGCAAGGTGCTGACCACTGTAAATCCCTCATTCCATAGGCCTGCCTTGGTTTATTCCCACTAAAACAGCCTACAGGGGAAAAAAATGTCCTTAAACACCACAACATTGCAGCAGGCTTTGAAATGCCACCTATCAGCTGGAATTTGTCAAGATTTTCATCTGTGGTGTTGTATAAATCCTTTGTTTTTCAGGACTCAATGCTGGTACCTCCAAAGCCAAATCTGTGGTACTTCGAAAAGCAACACACTGAGTGAGGCATTTATCAGATTATGTGCCACAAGTTATTAAAATTAAGTCTATTTACTGCATCTATTCCATAATTAGATTGAAGGGAAGAGTTTCCAAGCAGCCTTTGGAAGTTTTTCACAACACCCACAGCTGCATATTCATGTTTTTAATCCTATTCCAAGCATGTTTCAGAAAATAGCAATTTGTTTTAAATTGAGCTCCACCTTATCTGAAAAAGCAGTATCTTTATTTTCATCAGGATTCTGATTTTACTAAAAGATGTAGAAAAATACCCTAAAAGCTGCAGAGATGATGAAACTATTTATACATTTAATTTTATTGTCTCACACAGACAAATTATTGTGATGCACTACTTTGTGTTTGATGAGCTTTAAGCATCAATTAATCAGAAACTGATCTCCTGACAGCTGTTGTGAAAACTGGTGAGAGCCAAGAGTAGGGCAGAGCTTTTCATGGGTGCCTAGTTAGATTTTTCAGATTCTGGTCTGACTGAAAACTCAACACTCCACCACGTAGTACAAGTAACTAACAGCCTTATTTTGCACCATTTTGGGTATGTGGAAGAAGCTTACTTGGTGGCAAAGTGAAAAACAAACAAAAAAAAAACCTCATGAAAACATTGGCTGTTTGGTTGGGGATAACCTGCATGTGGAAAAGAACAACATAAATAAAAACAAGTGTGGGTGTGACACAACTGATGGTGCAGAAAAATCAGTCAAATACTCTGTTTGTATTCCATGCTTCCTAAAGGGCTCCCAGTTCAAAATTTAATGCCAGCACAAGACTCAGCTGGTGCAAAAGCCCCCCAAAAGCAGAGGATGAGCTTGGAATCATCATTCTACAAACAGCAGTTCCAAAACCATGGCTGCCCCCATCCAGCAGACAATTCAAGGAGTCTGAACTGTAGTGCCTTCGAATAAAGTGACAGAATGTGAGAAATGCCCTCTGCCCCTGGCCCAAAGCATCTATACAGCACCAGAGATGAAAATCTGTGGCTAAGACTTAATGAGGCCTCACTGCAGACCTGCAACCCTTATCACATTTATTTCATGTTTATGGAGGTAAATAAACTTCAAAAGGGGATCTTAGATTAATGTTACAATGGTAGAGGAAAAAGACAGGCACAGAAAAGATGACTGTTAGAGGTCACCCGTTAGTCCAATCTAGAAATGAATTCACATGAGAAGTAGCACACAGACATTCAGGAAATACACAGTAATTACTACAACTCTGAGCTTGAGTAGAAACATCCAGTTCTACTCCTGACTCTCTAATAACAGTGGGCAATTCCCTTCTCTGCATCTCACTTCTGCAGCTGTGGTGTGAACACTGGAACCATGATCCTCGAGCATTTTTCCATTTTTTTAAAACCTTTACTAGTCTAGAAAAGGGAAATCAACTCAAGACCATAGCAGAATGCAATGGGGAAAATAAACCAACCAACCTCTTCTTGACTAGTTCAGTGTGGGCAAGTAGTAAAAGAGATTAGAGGAAAGCATTTTAGAAACCATGATAGAAGCAAGGTGCCAAAATAAAGTACTTAAAAGCATTACAGACTGCACTGTGCTGCCCAAGTACAACATAAATTACAAGGTGAGGGGGAAGAAGACACCAGCAAGCAGAGGCATGAAGGGATCTGAGGGGAAGAATAAATCTCCCAATGAATGAAGCCAGAGCATAGGCAGGGATGCTGCAAGAAGCAAAACACAACAAGTGGAAAAATAAAGTGGAGTGTGTGCCAGAAGTCCTGTGACACCAATTGTGGCTTTGAATAAGAAACTTCCCCACAGGGCAGTGGGACAATGGAGGGAGCAGAATGCTCACAGATCAGAAACAGCTGCATCGTGCCAAGGAGCTGGAAGTTAAAGGGACTGATAACCTGGTTAAGGAGGGTGGATGGATGGTTGGTTCCTCACAAGTTAAACAAGACACTTAACAATATAGGTGCTTTATGTATGTATTTATATTTTTTAAAAAGCAGGAACTGTAATCTGGTAACAGAGTCACAGCTTTTAGGGCAAGGAAGTTTGCCAGTGATTCAGTCGCTCTCCTTGCACGTCTGTGTCGTGGTGCTAACCCACTGCAGCTCTGCTCTGTGCAGTGTCAGAACAGCCTGATGAGTGGCTGTGATAAATCCACATTCTCAGCAGCACAGCACACACTGTTCTGTGTGCACAGGGATGGCAGGGCTGCACAGGACATGCTCATCCCACTGCACCTCAAACTGGGGCCCTTGAACAAAAATGGTTTGAGTGAAGGCTGAGGCAGCTTCACAAGGTAAATTGCTGAATTTCAGCACTTAGGACAAATTTAGAAAGTCCATCTCCAATTTGTGCCATACTTGTTTTTTTTTGGAGGTTGTTTTCCCTTTTATTATAAAGGAGTTTCTTACCAACTTATCTCTCACCTAAAAGAAGTCCTGTAGAAGAAAAACCTGTGAGGAGAATCCACATACAAGAGACTGCAAACCATTTACATCATAAAAGTTTTGATTATAAAATCTTACCTCATCACAATCTCCTTCAACCATAGCATAAATAGCTTTCTTAACCAAGTTTGTACCTGAAACACAGATTTCAGTAAGTGTCAGAGTTGAAGTACAAAAAAAACAAAAAAAGCCAGTTTACATATGACTAATGGGTGCTACCTACAAGACATGACACCTGGGGAAAGCAGGGAGGAAAGAAAAACAAGGAGTTGCAGTCAAGCTGCAGTCTCAAGTCTGAACACTAAAATAATCTGTGAAGTTATCCAGAGACTCAGCTCAAGTGCAAGATTCTTGTAACACAAGGATATTAGAAACTGGCTGCTATGCTCAACATGGTGTTATATATAGCCTTCCAAGATGTGATTCATTCCTTTTTGTTGCATTTAAAGTCAAAATCTGCTGGCATGTACTGGAAGGACATTCATCTTCCAAGGGAATTTCCTCTTACTAAAACAAATACTTCTATTAGTAACAGAACTTATGAAACCACTGCTCTTATGGCTCACTCCCATTTGGGTTTGCTAGTATCTAATAATATTCTTGAAGCCCATCCCTTCCCCTCAGACAAGCATTAATTTTTTTAATCGTTATTTTTCATCTATTTCACAACAGTTCTACAAATGTAATATCCCTACCTGTCTGCAGAATTGGGGTGAAATTGAAAGTTGATTTCAAAGTTATTAGTGGAAAAAACTGCTGTTCAGTGAAAATTGCATAAATCTCACTTCCATAAGAAGGCTATGGAAAAGGAAAAAAAACCCCAAGGAATCTACAGAATGTTTTAAAATATTCTCAAAACTTTAATCAATTAAGATTTTCATTGAGTGTTATGATAAAACTGTTCTACATTTAAAGCAGATCTTCAGGTTAACAGCACACTCTGAGAAACAGCAAGGTGGCAAATATAGGAAAAAGTCAACATATATAATGCTAGAGTAAGCAAAGTTTTAAAGACCAATTCTATGTATGTAATTCTAATTTAACAGACTGACTAAAGTGAGGGAAAAGTCTTGCAGTAATCTTCATAATAACAGCCTTAGTTCTTATTTACTTCTGAATCCAAGCACCTGCAATTAAATTATGGCAGACTCCTTCATGACTCAGCTAAAAGGAAAGCAGAGACAGTGATTTCTCAGTATCCTCTTCCTCTGCTCCACTACAGAAACCAACAATGGCTTTTCAATTGCACTGGGGAAAGAAAAAATCTGCACATGCTTGAACAGTGTTTTTTTGGAGGGTTTTTTCTGGAAGAGAGCAAACACAATGATACATTCTGCAATGGATCACTGTATTTTTCGATTGCAAGTAATTTTCTGTCTTTAATCACAGAAGCATGAGCTGTTCAGTGTGGATGAGTGGTGAAGCACAGTTCTAAGCCTTGGAGCTGACGGCTACATTTAGTTAAAAATACCTAACAAAATGTAATTTCACAATAACCAGCATAAAAAAATTAAGTTCCATAAGAACAAATATTTAATTAAGCCAACTTGACTAACTGGTGTTAGAATGAAAATCCATTCACCAGGGCAAAACTGATTAATGAGGAAGGGCAAACTCCCTGCCAAGAGTGATTTCTTTACCATGTAACTTCCCAACAAAACAGATCGCCATTTCAATCATTCAAGTAACAATACACAGCTATTTTTCTTCCCTGATTAATACAATAATGAGCTCTATACATTCTCCCTGATGGGTAATATATGCATTATTTATAGGGGTAAGTCAGGAAATAAGTTCACTGTAAAAAAGGAGCCTGTACACAACATGGAAATGAGGGCATACATAAACCACAAAGCAGTTCCCACTGTTGTTATTTGGCAGTGGTAGAGGCAGAGGTAAGGGGCTGCTGCCTGCTTTTCTTTTTAGCCTCATCAGATCCCAGGTGTGAACCTCACAGGGCATTTCAGGTTATTTTAACAAAATCAGAAAATCCACTGGGGAGCTCGTGTGGTTGAGTAAGGCAGGGATGACACACAAAGCACCACATCCTGAAGTTCAGTTCAGCTTAAATCTTTATGACAGCTACAGTTATCCCAGCTAGAGGATTTAAGGAAGAAAGAACAAAAAAAAAAAGCTATTCTTACCAATTCCTTTTCTTCTGTATTTGGAATCCACTGCTAACATGGCTATATAACCTCTGCGGAACATCTTTTTGTGCATATCCAGCTTGCAGACGATGGCACCTACACACTCCTCACCTACCATGGCCTTAAAGACAAACATACACGGATGGAATTCTCAGTTTGGGATCCACAGTGCTACCAAAAGCAGTAAACCAGTTCATTTTTCAAGTGAAAGAGCCACAGAAAATTTGTTTGTATAAAGCTATGGAAAGGTAACGACGTTAATTTTAAAAGTGTCTCCTAAAGTATTACTACGATTAAAAGACTTAATTGCTTTATTACATTCCAATAAAGTTCCAAGTCAATTAACAACCAATGAATTATTCCTGGAGAGAAGCACATTATCATTTCACAAAGTCTACAGGCAAGAACACATGTGATTAAAAAGGGAAAATAAATAAAAGACCAGGTTAAGGCATAAATTACCCTTTCATATGGGCTTCTTCAGAGGAAAAAAGAGTCCATTCCTGTTTTATAGTGATCTGAATTTTCCTGTACAAGGGCTGTGGTAGATAACATGCTTAATTTTTGTCTGGTTTTAATGTCAAGGTCACAAAGGATCAGAGAAAAGTGTTGCTGCATTTAATCTTTAGACACTGTCGCTTTCAGTCATATGACACCCAGAGAACAAACAAAAAAGCAGAGTTAATTTCACACATTTTAACTATTGGGAGATTTCATTTGTTAAGAGCTATGCACTGGCAGTTAATCCCAGTGGCATTGTCACAGTAACCGTGGTCAAGGAGACGTAGGCATTCTGAAATATTAACAAGAAAAACTCCAAAAAGGAAAGGACCCAACTCCTCCCCAAACACTCATCAAAACACTTGCACACCCACTCTCTTCACCAAAATTTTACCATGAGAGAAAGGAAAACTAAGTCATGTTAACTGAAGGATTAGGCAGCATAAGGGATCAATGACATTATAACCTGCAGCAGTAAAACTGAGTAATGCTGCATCCAAGGGGAAAACAAACTCCTGTGCACTCAGGAAAGATGGGCAGAGATAAAAAGAAACTCATAATTTTACATATGGGCTTGTGAGCGGATCCACAGCCTTTGACAGATCTGCAGAGAGGACCAATCTTGGGCTCAAGTGCCACAGCTAAAGCAGGAATCCAAATTTACGACTCTAAGATACGTCAAATGAAAAGGACTTGCTAGAGCCAGTACTGCCAGGCCTCAGAGCAGCCACCTGTGAACCCAGAGCTCACTACTCCAAAGTGTGTGGTATAAATTCAACCACCTGAACCTTTGTGCACAGCTTGTAGGCTAAAGCTCTGAGACAGATTCCTTCCTGCAGGTCATGCTGCAGGCACAGTCTCTTCACCCCAAAAAGAATCAAGTCTTTCAGCACCTCCACCTGAATTGTGGGTTATAAACTAAGTAATCTGTCAACCAGAAGCTGCAGCAAATGTGGAAATGAAGCCAAATAAAGTAGAAGTTGCAGTTCCAAAGCCCTGTGATACAGCACAATCTTAACTCCATTTCTAATGTAGCTGAAGCAAATGTAACTATTGCTAAGTTTTTATTTGGCAGGAAAATACATTTCAGCAGTATCCAAGAACAACCCTGAACAATCTAACAGAGTGGTTTTTAAAACAACAAACAAAAACTGTAGCACAATCTAAGTGGACTGAAACACAGAGTCTCTAAGCCTTTCATTTGTTCCAAAACACAGTTTATGCCACAGAAAAAGAGGAGCTGTGCCCATACTCAAAACAGTGTATGCAAAGTTTCAGCTCAAGGCAAGTTCTGTATCTCGGTTCAGACCTGAGAAAAGCAGGGAGTTAAATAAAGAGTATCATCAGACAGACTGCTCAGAACATTGCTATAATTATGCAGAGTACCTAGATGTAATCTTAAACCTCAGTAAAAAAAAAAAAAAAAAGAAAGCACACCACAAACTAGCACGTTATAGTTGTGCTTTGCCCTGGAGTGAACACGTGCAAACTGTTGATCCTAACAGTTATGTGGAGAATTTTTAAGATATATGTTGGGTTTTTTTATATTCTTCAGGAGTAGTGACAATCTGACACTTCATATCTGAGCTCTTTCTTGTCCAGAGCACTTTTCTGAAAAGTTCATGAATCATATATTTAAAATGTTAAATGAACAGCAAAGAATTTTGTTTCAGTGATCAAAGAAGCAAATACCCACTGGTTTTACCACTGCTGCCAGAGAGCTGAGTAAAGAATGACTCTATTACCAGTTCACCAAACACTTAAATCTATTTCTCTGTCTTCAGGCAGGTAAGTCTGGCAGTTAATCTAGAGCTGTTCCACTCACAAAGGGAATGCTGCATTTCCACCTCATTTAGAGGGGTTTTTGTTGCCTTTCCTCTCCTTTCTCCTTCTTTCCAACCTTATCTAAAGCTGGAAATGAAACCTAAACCATGATGCAAAACTTTGCAATTTAATTTCCTGGAGAAGGTTAAACTGTGTGAATAAAAAAAAAAAGCCAGACAGAAATAGGGAGAGTCGTGAGGAGGGAGGAAAAGTAGCTCCCACACAAAGTCATTTAGGACAAGATACTCATGGGCCAGACTTTCCTTTCAGGTATATGAGAGTACTTCTAAACAAGCAGTTCTCTACAAACAGAATTTAGCCTAAGTCACTATTGTATATCATAAACTCCACAGAGTACTGTAAGATTTACTCCAATAGTAGGTTATTAGTAGCAGGATTAACATACATGAATCCAAATCCAGTATTTGCATCATCTTTGTTCCTATGAATAAGTTTAAATGCTTAAAACAAACCAGATTTTAATATACTGGAAGAGCTAGTAGAGAAATGTCTGTAAAGCAGCAAGAACATTACTTTTCACAGAATTAATCAATTTGTATTAATTTCATTATCAAAGATGCCATTATGTCTGTCAACCACAGTCTGAGTATGCATTTAATATCTAGATCCTGTGAATTTTATTTAAGGGAGATTAAAACAGCCAACCAGCCCCAAAAGGGAAATGTTTTGTGATTCAAACACAGCAGAACCTGCACCGAAGTCCATCCCAAAGTATCCCAGGCACAGCTGGGTACGAACTGGCTCTCATTTAGGGATCGTGTTACCGAATGCCATTAGAGGATACACTCAGGGTAATGCTTTTAACCCCAAGTCTGGGGCCTCAGCCGCAGCTCTTCCCGGTACCTGGAAATCCCCACGTCCCTCTGCTTCCACTCCATGAACCTGGACACCAGCAATTCCCTCCTGTGTGAGGAACACCCTCTGGAATAGCTGCCCTGGACACCAGCAATTCCCTCCTGTGTGAGGAACACCCTCTGGAATAGCTGCCCTGGACACCAGCAATTCCCTCCTGTGGGAGGAACACCCTCTGGAATAGCTGCCCTGGCTGTTGTCACCTGCTCAAGGGCTGCAGGGACTTCAGTTTTCACAGAGCCACTGATAGCGAGAGACTGTCTCAAAGTGTGATCACTCCTAAAAACAAACTGGAAACTTTGCAAATTCTCCTACAAAACTTCTCCCTACGTCTGCCATGGGGCCAGGAAGACTTCTCAGACAACCTCCTAACTTTTCTGGTTCTTCCTTTAAGCCCCTGGTTTTCCACAACCAAAGAACAGACACGATGTCTTACAAGTCTTAATTTCAACACACCAAGACTCTTGAATTGAATCCAATTTAAAAAAAAAATGCAAAGCATTAGTATAAAACAAGACTTAACTGCAGTCATTTAGGATTTACAACACATTTAAAACCACTTACATGGAATTAATAGGTTATTTTTAAATTTGAGAAAGTTTAAATTATAAATGCTGCTATAGCTAGTGGCAAAGTTAAGAATCCAATAAAAGCACGTATTTTCTAAATTTTTCTTAAAAGGCAGCTGAGTGGTACAGTGAATTACACGAGAGGTTACAACACTCAACCAGAACTCTGCTTTTATTACATTCTGTCTTATCCAAATTCTGGCACAGAGCAAGGTTTCCTAAGCTCACCTCTCCCACGCTAAAGGATTTTGAAAACAATTTTCTGAAATATTTAATTTATCAGTCTGAAATGCAAGCTTCAGAACTTTAGCACTGCTAAGACTAGAAGCTAGAAAACCACTTTAAAAGAAAGCTACGATGTCAAAAATGCATTTACAATCCATCTGGGGACAAAGACGTAACACTCTTTAAAAATACTTCACATGAAACAGAAGATGCCCCATCCCCCTGTCATTTTTTGGCAGAGGAGTGGTTATCATTTGAGGAGAAACTGGGCTGACAGAGCTTCTGAGAATAAGTAAAAAACCAGGCATTTACTGGGCACCCACACCTAATACACAAAGCAAACCTGCTCTTCTGAAGACAGGCAAAACATGATTTTAACCAGACAGTTGGACTTCTACAGAATCCCAGAATGCCTTGGGTTGGAAAAGACCTTAAAGATCATCTAGTTCCAGCCCCCTGCCATGGACAGGGACACCTTCCCCTGGACATTTATGGAGGAAAATGTTATTTCCTTGCCACAGCCCAGACACTGCTGCAGTGTGACACCTCAGCACTGAGTAGTACTCACAACTTGCTACCCCCAAAGTCAGGGTAACAGTTATGTGGGTGAATTTGATATTGGATTTAACAGGGTTTTAAGATTTCCAGTATCTCCAGGTCCTTTTAAAGTGGAATATTCATTTCTTCTTTGGGTGTACAGTTAGGAAGTGGTCTGAGCCTGAAAACCAGTCAGGGTTGGTCCTCTTGCCTTCCCTCCAGCTGTGCACTCCCTCCTCTTCTCTTGCTCCAGTGCCTGTGACATCCTACAGGAATATATCTAGAGCACTAAACCAACAAAGCATCACCCTAAAACAGCTAAATACACACACATTTACAAGTACATTCCAGTTAGAGGGTTATCTCAGCTCCCAAACTCACAGAAACACAGGAGCTGGCACAAGGCAGGAAGAGGGAGTTGAAGAGAAAGGAAAAACAAGCGGCAGCCTGGGCTGCACCAGCCCTTAGAGCAACTTGGGAAGGCCAAGCCAAAATTCAGCAAGTTTCAAATCCACGCAGTGAAGTTAATGAGCCTTGCATTGTCAGAATAGGGAAATTATGTTTTAGATGGGTCACTGAATAAACCATCAGAAAGAGGCAAGTGCTGATAATTTAGGAAAATTCACATCCCATCTTAAATTTCAGTGGTGTCAGTCCTTTCCCCTCACAGGGAGGGAAAAGGAAAGGTGCCATGACAGCACAGGGAAGACAGGTGAGTGTGTTCTGGAAGAGTTTTCAAATGGTGATGGTGAAACACAGTAAAGGAATTGATTGAATTGACCCTTACAGATCTTTTTCCAAATACAATCAAATCACAGGCTAACCCTTCTTCCCAAAACAATCAAAACCCAGTCAAAACCTGAAACCAGAAGGTTGTGAGGCCACAAAGCATTAAAGACAAATGATTCTGTGACATCAGGCACTAAGATTCATGTTCACCATCCCAACACTTCTTGCTAATTGAAATATGCAGTCCCTGACTGAAGATAAATATTTTAAAGCGATTTATTAGATAGAAGTAGTTCAGGAATCCATTAACTGCAGGAACAAATTAGATTTTCTAGAACAGAAAGCTTTCAAGACAACCTCTAAGAAACAAACCCCCAAAATATTAAAGCCAGTCACAAAAAACCCCAACCCCCTCCCCCCACATGAATTTGACTCAGGATGCAGCAAGACCTTCAAATTATTAAGCAGGTAACAGTTTGCTGGTTTAGACATTCAAAGCCATATATTGTTCTCTACACTTTTATGTACTTTACATTGTTTTGCCTTTCCAAAAAAATGGCAAATACACCGAGTTCAAGAAAAGTTTTGTTGATTCTTCAGGGCTATCAAAAAATGAAGCTGTCACTACAAAATAAGCTTTCTCTTCCTTGAGTGATATCTTACTCTTTAAATGCACTTATTAGAAATCATCTGTTTTGGTTCTCTGTCAAACAAGTTGTCACTGCTCTTCTCACAACAAAATTCTCCAGTTATTCCTTGACAAAAAAAAACAAACCATAATGACTGAAAGTCTAAACAAATGCATTGTGATCTAAGAGTATCCAACATTGCCTTGGCATTACCAGGGGTACACCTGATGCTCAGAGTATGGACTTCTGTAGTTCTTGAGCATTCTACTCTCAGTATGAGGTAAATCAGTCACAGGCAGAGCTCAGTGTTTGAAGAACACCACTGTGCTCTGATCAGCATCCCTGTAATGGCAAACATGACTCTGCATCCAACAACGCTCTCCAGTATTTTCATATTCTGTTTTGTTCCAGAAGGTCAACTTCTTGCTTTGCTCAACTTCCTGTAATCCTCCTGTATTCCCTCTGCAGGGTGTTCAGAGGCACAGCTCTGAAAATCTTCCTATAAACCGTATCAATCCTGCTATAAATTACACCAGATCCTAAACCAGGAATGTTCAGGAAATTTAAAACCAGATGGACTCCAATAGCCTCACCTCTTGTACTCATATTCTATCAAAATTTCAGAGATACCCCTGAACTGATGGGTGTCTTGGCTCTGGCTAAATCAGACCTTTCAGACGGGTGTCCAGCCTTAATTAAAACATCAAGAGAGATGAATCCATCATTTTCTTTAGCAAGAAAGTGCCACAAATTCCCCTAAATGTTCTGTTTTGCAGCTGTAAGGGTTCCTCTGAGTAAATCAAGCACAGCTAAGCTCTTGCTATGCACATACACTCCTCAGGCCAACTTCTACTCAGTTTCCTTTACCTGTGGATGAATTATCATCCTAAAAGCGTGCAACTGAGACACAAAAAGTGCTAAACATTTAGGAAGGCAGGGGGCAGCTAAACCAGCCTTTCAATAGTGCAGTAGGAAAAATACAACACTAAATACGTTGTTAGTGCAGGGAGCCAACGTGAGAATGAATTCCTGCATGCTGCGAGCACTCTCACACCTGTAAAAGCAACACAGTTGGACTTGTCTTTGTCAAAGTAAGCTCACAGATCAAAAAGTCTACTAAATCTTTCAGAGTGCCTCTCCACCTATCACTTAACATTTATGTGCCAGCCCTGCTTTAGTCAGTTTTAAAACCATTGTGCAAGAATTACCAAGCAGTTACAAGGCATTAGTGGACTAAGTACTTTCTTTTTTAAATCCAAGCCCAGGAACTGAGACAGAATCATAAAATGTGCTACCAAAGGTCACAAAAGTCAATGTCAAAACCAAGATTAGAAGCTCTGAATTTCTGGATCCTAGCCCTGTGCTCAAACCCTTTCCTCACCACTTAGAATGTGTTAACAAATGTAGAACTTTGGGCATAAGCTTTACTTGTACATGCACAGGTCATAAGTGGACAGGTATTTCCACAAAAGTTTGGCCTTAGCCACAAAAACGTTATTAAAAGTATTTCAACAAACGTCAACCCTTCCATCCTCTCCTCCCCAGCCCCAAACCACTCCCAACTCCTGCCCTCCCTGCTCCCTCCAGCACTTACCAAAAAGCAAAGTTGTGGCCAGTTGTGGATAAAATACCTATATGTGTAAATGGAGTAGGGTTCAGACAGATCTTTGGTGATCAGTCTCATGATATCGGGCATCTGCAGCTCTGACTCATACTGGACGTATCGTATCGTTAGGTCCTCCTCGGGCTGACAGTCCGTTCCCGAGCCTTTCAAACTGCAGGCTGCTGCTAAGGACCCGGAGAGTAGCTGCAGGGACTCCTCCTCCTCCTCCTCCTCCCCTCCTTCATCCCCCTCCTCCTGCTCTTCCTCCTCCAAGCCAGTCTCTCCCGCCAGCCCATTGCGGGCTGCAGTCTTAGCAGCAGCAGTCGTGGTTGTGGCAGCAGGCTGGCTCCTGTCCCCAGCCCCTTGAGCTGGGGGAGAAGGAGGAGGAGAGGGTGCAGTCCTTCCCTGGGGAGGGAGGTGGTTGGCGTGGGGGGACGAGCAGGGCGCTGCGGTGGGGGGCGACGACTGCTGCTGTCCGGAGCCCATTGTTTTGCTGGCTCGCTTGTTCTCCAGCCCCTCGGGGGCCGCCCCTGCCTCCGAGCCGAGGATCTTGCCCTTGAGGGAGGCCCGCAGGTGCCGCAGCTCGGGGCTGATGAGGCCGTTGAGCTGGTGGTTGTGGTGCGGGGGGTGATGGTGGTGGCGGTGGTGGTGGCGGTGCTGCGGGCCCC